GAGTACATTTTATAAGTGTATCATATAATATCAGACTTTGACATTGAGCATATGAAATTTCTTTAGTTTTTATTGAGCTCTTGTGTTGACAAATACTCGTAATTTATGAGTCAAAAGGCAGTAGCAACAAATAGATTTACTTATCGGCTAATTCCTTGGCTAATGCCCAAATACGTTCAAACAGCTTAGCCCAAATATGCCCAAGCTTGGGTATTATGGGTTAATTAAAAGACTAGAAAAAACCAACAAGTCCTACGAAAGTATAGACATATATGAAGAATCCTATATATGCATAAGTATATATAATTATATAATCATTGATGACTGATTTTCCGAAATTAAATAAACACGTATTCATTCATTAATCTTTTTGTCTAGAGGACAGAAATTGAGTATGAAGCCGATTGAAGGAATAAAACCTTCCATCTCAATTTTTCACCCAGGTGCGGGAGATAATAATGATAATGAGTAATGACTAATAAATAATAAATAAATAAATAAGTAAATAATAAACAATAAATAATAACTAATAAATAATAAATAATAGATAAATAATAATTAATATAAATGAATAATGAATAATGAATAATAAATAATGAATAATTAATAATGAATAATGAATAATAAATCAATAAATAATAATAATAATAAAAAAGTCAATAAGAGTTAAGAAAAAACGGTTTGCGACGACCTTTCCATCTTTCCAAGGCATTTTCCAAAAGCCAGCTATATTTACATCACAAGCGATTACTACTCTAATAATTAATCAATCAGTCATATATATATATACTATATATACATATATATGTTTAATAAGTTCTACTAGACTAAATATCCTTGATGGGGGATAGTGATACAATATATCAAGGAGAAACGCTCGTCTCACCTTTACTCAGGTGGTAGACTAACACTAACACTAACACTACGACTACCTGATTAATATGGCGTTTCGAGATAACATTTATTTATGAATGTTAGTGCCAGTTAGTCGACATTGTCGAAACGCGACAGCCCACTCCAGCACAAGGCACATGCGACGACAAAAACAAAAACGAAAACCCAAACCAATTGGCGTTCTGATTCGATAAACATTTATCATAATCATAAAATAAAATTGCCTTCAAAAGCGATCGACTGCAATCTTATTGGTCGTCGCCAGCTCCAAGTGGGCGTGTTCATTCACAATGGGTGTGGGCACAAAAAAACAAATAGAACTCAAATAAAGTATATCGTAACTGACTTTCCTGCATGGCAGACTGTCTGCTCTGCTCTGCTCCGCCTGCTGTGCCGATCTATAGCTGGAGATATTAGATCAGATCAACTTAAATATATATATCGAGAACTGAATGTCCCGCATGGCGAGCGATCTGTGGCGATCTATAGCTGTGGGGCAATATCAATAGAGATCAGATCAGGTCAGATGAGATTTGATCAACTTAAATATATATCGTAACTGTCCTCTATGGCGAGCAGTGCTCTGTTCCAACTGGCGATCTATAGCTAAGGCGAGATCAGTAGAGATCAGATCAGGTCAGATGAGATCTGAAATAATATGAATAAATATATATCGTAACTGACTGTCCTTTATGGCGGGCGATCTGTGATGATCTATAGCTGTGCCGAGATCAGTAGAGATCATATCAGATCAGATCAGCTTATATATACATACATATATCGTAACTGTCCTGAAAGTCGAGCGAGCTGTTTGCTGTGCTCTCCTCCGCCTGCTGTGGCGATCTATAGCTGCGACTAGAGATCAGTAGAGATCAGATCAAATCAGCTTATATATATATCGTTACAGACTGTCCCTTATTGCGAGCTATGTTCTGCTGCTCCAACAGGCGATCTATAGCTGTGGCGAGATCAGAAGAGATCAGATCAGATGAGATCAGATTAACTTAAATATATATCGAGGACTGACTGCCTTTTATGGCATACTATACAGCTGTGGGGCGTGTGGAGATCAGTAAAGATCAGATCAGATCAGCTTAGATCAGATCAACTTAAATATATATCGCAACAGACTGAACTGCATGAAGGGCGATCAATGGCGATCTATAGTTGTGATCAGTAGAGATCAGATCAGATCAACTAATATATATCGTAACAGATCTATGGCGATCTTTAGCTGTGGGGCAATATCATTAGAGATCAGATATGATCATTAGAGATCAGATATGATCAGTAGAGATCAGATCAGATCAGATCAACTAATATATATCGTAACAGATCTATGGCGATTTTTAGCTGTGGGGCAATATCATTAGAGATCAGATATGATCGGTAGAGATCAGATCAGATCAGATCAAGTAATATATATCGTAACCGACTGTCCTTTGTGGAAAGCTGTGTGCTGTGCTCTGCTCTGCTCCGCCTGTGATCTATAGCTGTGGGGCAAGTAGAGATCAGTAGAGATCAGATCAGATCAGCTTAAATATATATACCGTAACTGTCCTGCATAGAGGACGAGCTGTGCTTTGCTGCTCCGCGTGGCGATCTATAGCTGTGGAGCGATATCAGTATAGATCAGATCAGATCTGATCTATATATCGTAACCGACTTAAATATATATCGTAAGCAACTTTCCTGCATGGCGATCTGTTACTCTGCTCTGCTCTGCTTCGCCTGCTGTGGCGATCTTTAGCCGTGGAGCGATATCAGTAGAGATCAGCGGGGTTCAGGCATAAAACAGAAAACATGGGTATGTACATACATATATTTATTCATATATTTATGCACATTTGTACATAATATTTTAAGCATACACAACCAGCAACCGGCAACAATTGAGGATCGTTGATCGTCAGCCCGAATTGTGCTTGTAGATTTTTTGGTTCTTCTTATCAACAGAGCACAGCACAGCATGCTACGCGTATTTATCACGTTCTCCGTGAACTTTAGACAAAGTTTATCTACAGAATGTAGATTTATATGACTCGAAGATTCGATCATGCTGTGTCTGTGGATCTCTTTGTGCGTCTCTCTCTCCCTCTCTCTCTATGTATATATATATATATATATTTGTATTTATCGCTGATAAGCGCAGATCGATTATAGACTATGTTTGATTGAAAATAAGTTTTCAATATGATTAGCTGACATCTATTTTGCGCGCGTATCTATTGGGGATCAGCCGACCGGCTCATGCATAAGGTTTTGCGAGATCGATTGAGGGTTACAGCCTGCATATATATATATATATATAGATAGGTAGTATTGCCCGGATTTTGATCTTTGCAATACTTGCAAACACGGACGTGGCGACGCACAGATACGAGTCGCAGATACGAGCACGGGATAGATGACGGCGTCGAGTGTCCAGATGAGATTAAGCAACAGTTGACCAGTTCGCTCGATTTCATATATATACTATATACTATATAGAATATTGTTATTGAGAACAAGTGATAATATTGTTTTTATTTTAACTAGATGTTGATGACAGCACATTGAGATGCGGCATAGTGGATCGAATAGGTTTCCTTATGGAACATTCCAGCTTAAGGTCGAACTTAAAGAAATCAAAGTTGGGCTCAAATTTGACTACACATATTTAAACTTTATTCTGAAAATCGGACATAATCTCATTTTGTTGTTAATTAAAATTATGTGTTTACCATAGCATCAACTTTGGTGCACAAAGATCATCAACTATTTCAAGTTATATCAGAATCATATTTGATTTGATACTCATTTTGATATGTTGAAGAATAATTTAAAAAAAAAGGCTTAGCTTGGGTTTCTTGATTCCCATTTGCCAGTTGGTGCTTTATCCAGTTAATTCTTGATTAAAATAAACTTTCCTTGAAAAGGAAAACTTTCTTTAGGCGCTTAAAAGAGCTTTTACTGAGCACTAAATATATGAAATGATATTAGATTCTAATGAGCACATTTTCTAGCTGGCCTCTGGGTCAACTTTTTGATTTGATATTCATTTCGATATGTTAGAAAATAAATGTTCAAAAGTTCATTCTCGATTAAAGCACACTTTCCTTGATAAAGATAGCTTTCTTTAGGAGCTGAGAAGAGCTTTTACTGATCACTAAATATAAATATATAAATATAAGAAATGATATTAGATTCTAATTAGCATATTTAGGAAAATAAAAATCATTTTTAAAAAAGAAGTTATGTGAGTCTTTTTTGCCAGTTGGATCTTTGTCCAGTTAATTATCGATTAAAGCTTATTTTTCTTGAAAAAGAAAGCTTTCCTAGGACCTTAAAAGAGCTTTTTCCGAGTAGTAAATATATGAAATAATATTAGATTCTAATTAGCATATTTTCTGATGGCCTCCGGGTCAACCTTTTGATGTGTGGAAGAATAAATGTTCAAAGTTTATTCTCGATTAAAGCAGAGTTTGCTTGAAAAAGAAAGCTTTCCTTAGGAGCTTAAAAGAGCTTTTTCCGAGTAGTAAATATATGAAATGAAAACCTTTTGATTTGTTATCCATTTTGATATGATGAATAAATGTTCAAAGTTTATGCTTATTTAAAGCACATTTTCCTAAAAAAGGAAAGTTTTCTTTAGGAGCTTAAAAGAGCTTTAACTGAAATAATATTAGATTCTAATTAGCATACTTGCTGCTGGCCTCCGGGTCAAGCTATGTGGACCACTGTGCCGAGAGCAGCAGAAACAGAAACAGAAAATAGTCCGGACAGTTTCCATAGGCCGTGTCGAAAGTTGCCGGCGATGATATGACATGCTACTTATTTAATAATTATTGCCCCTTGTTGTTGTTGTTGAGTATTTTTTTATATTTAAGTTTTGTTCAGATTTCTTATCGTAGCTGTGTGTATATGTTTTTTTATGTATTGATTTAGTATTTGAACGTTTCGATGATAACATCTCCACTATGAATGTGACCTCCTTTCGGGCTGATGTTGATGTTGATGATGTTTTCGAGTCGCATCAAAAAATATGTATAAATAAATATAGAACGTAATACAATCTAATCAACTTGTGTTTCTAATTTGTGGCCAATTTTCTATGCATCTTCCAGTCATACTCAAAGATGTGAGCTTCAATATTATGTGCGAGCTGCTGGAGTTTATGTACCAGGGCGTCGTCAATGTCAAGCACACGGAGCTGCAGTCCTTCATGAAGATTGGCCAGCTGCTGCAGATCAAGGGGCTGGCGACCAACTCGAACAGCCCGCCGCCCGGCTCCAGCGCCTCCGAGAAGACAAATGCCGCCGCCGAGCCCAACAGCAGCAGCAGCGCCAGCAGCCAAACCAAGACGGATGCGGATCAGGCTGAGCCCAAGGGCAACTCGCGCACGCCGACGAGCTCGCCGGGTGGAAGTCGTTCGGATGCGGGCTTGCCCCTGTATATGCAGAGCAAGCGACCGGCTCCGGCAGAATTCAGCAGCGATTCCCTGTCCATTTACTCGCGCAAGCAGCTGCGCAGATCCCTGACAGAGCAGCCCGGCGAGAGCATCGACAATGCGGACAGCGGCGGCGGCGGAATGGAGAATCCCTTGAATGCCGAGGAATTCTTTCTGCCGCCCATACCGCACATTTCCATGGTGGAGCCGCCACGCTACGATATGGGCAGCCTGAAGCGCGAGGCGGAGTCCCATCAGGCCGCAGCGAGCGGCAGTGCAGCAGGAGCTGCGACAGCTGCTGGATCGCTGCGCAATCCATTTGCGCCGGCCTTCAATCTGGACTACAATAACTTCTACAAGGCGAGCAACAGCAGCAGCGGCGCCGCCAGCAGCTCCAGCAATCTGTCCGGGCTGGGCCAGATCAATGGCGGCGGCAGCGGGAGCGGGAGCAGCTGCGGGGGCAGCCTGGGCATCAACGTTGGCCCCGCCACCGAATATCCCAATGACCTCTATATGCCCAGCGACTACTCCAAGAACTTTGCCAATCACATGGACATACCATCAAGTAGGTGCCACTTTATCTATCCACACACATCTCTCTCTCTCTCTCTCTCTCTGTCTCTCTCTGTCTCTCTGTTGCATGCGTTCTCGATTTTAGTTAATAATCCTTTGGTTCACCCGCATCCATCACGTATTACCCATGCCCACCTATTACTACTAACCCACAGTGTTAATATTGGCTAAAAAACAGGGATGGAAACCGGGCTTTAAGCCAATTCGACGATGAACTTATCACATTTGAATTCACTTGTATTTCACGCGCTCACGTGGTTTCCATCTCTTATTACTAACCCACAATGTTAAGATTAGCTTAAAACAGGGATGGAAACCGGGCTTAAAGCCAATTCGACGATATAAACCAAATAGGAACTTATCACATTTGAATTCACTTGTATTTCAAGTGCGTGAGTGGTTTCCATATCTTATTGCTACTAACCCACAGTGTTAATATTGGCTTGAAAACAGGGATGGAAACCGGGCTTTAAACCAACTTAACGATGATAGTCGATAGTTGTCATATATAAACCGAATAGGAACTTATTACATTTGAATTCACTTGTATTTCACGTGCGCACGTGATTTCCATCTCCTATAACTAGCCCACAGTGTTAATATTGGCTAAAAACAGGGATGGAAACCGGGCTTGAAGCCAACCCGACGATGATAGTCGATACTTGTTATATATGTACAAAATGGGAACTTATCACATTTAAATTCACTTGTATTTCACGTGCGTGAGTGGTTTCCATCTCTTATTACTAACCCACCGTGTTAATATTTTATAACAACAGGGATGGAAACCGGACTTTAAGCCAACTCGACGATATAAACCGAATAGGAACTTATCACATTTAAATTCACTTATATTTCACGCGCACACGTGGTTTCCATCTCTTATTACTAACCCAAAGTGTTAAGATTAGCTTAAAACAGGGATGGAAACCGTTCTTTAAGCCAACCCGATGATACTTGTCATATCTAAACCGAATAGGAACTTATTACTTTTAAATTCACTTGTGTTTCACGTGCGCGCGTGGTTTCCATCTCTGGATTAACCAGCGTTATCTGCACAGCTCGCTGCCTGGACATGCTTTGCCCAACCGAACGCCAATAAATTTTACCCAAAACGAATTTATGTAGCCTCTCCTTGTACATAACATCCTCCCCGTCTAGGCGTTAAGCAATATTATTTGGGTTAACCCGCAAGATTTGCCCCACTAATCTTCCAAAAATTGTACGTATATTTTGTTGCGGACGCTGCACCCAAATTTGGATGGATTCAGATGGCAGCAACATGGTCATGTTGTCCACAACATCTTTGCTGCACGGCAATTGCGTTTTCAATCGCAACAACACGGTCGCCACGCAGCAGGGCATGAAGACCTACTGGCTGTGCAAGTCCTATCGCATCAGCATGTGCCGGGCGCGCTGCATAACGCATCTGGGCCGGATTATATCCGCCACCGGCGTTCACAATCACATGCCCCATATGCGCGGCAATGGCGGCGGCGGCGCCGGCTCCGGCAATGCCGGTAACTCGGTGACAGTTACGCCCAATCCTAATCCCGGCCAGGCGAGCTACAACGTCTCTGAGGGCAGCCATGTAACGTCTGCGCCGGCAGCAGCCGTCGTGGAAATGAACCATGGATCTGGCGCTCGGCTGGGCGCCAATATATTCGCTAACCAGACGCCAGCGTCGCCAGCCAACCATCATCATCATCATCATCATCTGACACAGGCGCTGCCCAATCTGCTCGTGCAGCATCACAACTCGTCGCACGTCAGCATGGAGCAGCATGGCATGGATAATGGTCCGCCGCCGACGCAGCCGCCTCCTCCTCCTCCTCCTCCGCCGTCCAACAGCGTCATACAAAACATAATGCACAATCCGAATCTGATGCATTTGCCGCATCCACATCATCACCAGCAACAGCAGCAGCAGCAACATTCGCCCCACCATCTGGAACTGGGCGTCGCTGGGCCAGGATCGTCGCTGCTGCCTCTTTCGCCCGCGCAGATGCAGCAGCAGCAGAGTCCGCAGTCGAACAGAAGCAGCCACTCGATGCATGCGACCGAGTCGCCGCTGGGCATGAAGAGTCCCCCTCCTCCGCCGCCGCCACAGTCAGCGGAGCAGCAGCGGCATGGGGACATCAATGCGAGCGCGGACGGATCGGCGGAGAGTGCAGCGGGCACGGCGCACGTCATTGACTCCATAACGATATCGCCCGGCAGTGGCAGTCACAATTTTAAGATCGAGAACATCTGAGAGGGCTCCGTTTCTAGTTAATAAGACAACGATAATTTATTGCGGCTGGAGCCGCGCTTAGTTAGTGTTTTTAGACGAAATTCAATTTGATTGTATTTATGTACATCTATGTATATAGTACTACCTGCGTATGTACATATGTGCATATGCGGGCATGTATATCGAATGTAAAATGGAAATGCAAATCCAAATGAAACATACTACCAAATGCGATCGCTTTTCACATTCGATTCCCAACTTTTCTCTCAAACTTGGCGCGTTTTCCCAATGTCCAGTTAATGCGTCGTATGACCAAACTTTACATCAATTTATTGACCTGGTAAAATACCGGATTTCGGATTTCTCAATGTCTGCCAGTTGGGCACACCTTTTTTTTTTGATTGTGTTGGAAAGTATCAAAAAAAATGTCTCCTCAAACTTCTGTTACATACGCAATTATTTAAAACGCAATTTTGCAATTTTTTGAATCAAAAACTCTATATTGTGAGGCAAGACCGAAACTAGACATTGAGAAAAACGGGTCTAAATGTAGCGTCAGGTAAGTCTTACATCCTGGGGTCAGCATGAGACAATAATAATAACGGGGCTCATTTGTGAATGTCCAGCCATCAAACATAACCTACACTCATACACATCTAGAACACACACACACGCACACACACACACATGTACATGCGCTCAATCCTGCCAATCTTGTGTATATTGTAGTCGCACCCGGCGAACACTGGTTTCAAGGCAAGCTCGAGTTTATGCTGAGTCAGCGCGGCAAACCGTTGCTGGTCCACGATGGTCACACTTTTGGCATTCAGTACGTGCGTAAGGATAAAAAATACTGGCAGTGCAATCTGTCGCGCAAATTTAATTGCAAGGCACGAGTAACCACGACCGACACGGGCGAGATTATAGTAACTAACAACGAGCACTGCCACACGGAGATACGGCAGCATTTGCGCAAGGACTATCAACGCAACAAGGTCATGATGAATGCGTTAATCAATTTGAGCACGAATCATTTGGCCGCAATGCGACGTCACAATCCGGTCGGGTTGAATGCTCTGCCACCCATAGCTATGGTACCAGGCGCGCTTACTCCGGGGTCCCCTATTATAGATGAGGTAGTGCAGAATCTGCATGATCTGGCCAAGGCATCGGCAGAAGCCAATCAGCAGCAGCAGCAGCAACAGCAGCAGCGGGCAAATGAGGCGCTTAAATACGAAAGCGATGAACCGCTCGACTGCGGTATTCGAAACTCTGCTGCGCTGGAGGACATGGCGCGTAGTTGCATTAACAACAACAACAAACAAACAGATAATGACAATATTGGCAATGATCTTACTAAAGAGCACGATTGGAAGTGCAAAAACGAAGGGGCTGATGTGCACTGATATCGTACGTTTGAAATGATTAAAACGCGCGCGAACCCAGCGTTGCAATTAGCCGATAACAACGGCAGCAAATTTCGATAAGCAAACGCCACCTAGCGTATTTTCACTGAGGAGGTTTAAATATACATTTAAAGACCAATTTAAGTACAAACGGAAAGCATGCAATAATACTCAAATAATAAAAACAAAAAAAAACAACGATACCAAACAAATTCCAAAGAATTTAGTTAATAAATAAATGCAAATGTTCTCACATTTGATTAGCGAATTTAAGAAAACCAACCATTTTCTGCGGTCTGCATTAAGTCGTATCGTTTCAAATTAATTTTAGTTTTACATTGTAATAACTTGAATTTTTAATAAAATTTATATGTTCTTGGGTGTGTATGAGTATATCTATGCTACAGCAGAATGAACTTAAATATTTATAACACGGCTGAGCTTCTGTATGCGATTGAGCAGAAGATCGCCCTGCTTAATGGTCGCCTGATACTGCCAGTTCTTGTTGTCCGGCCGATTCGTCTCCACAATGCCGCCCACGCGATCCACCTTGGCATGTAAGCGTCCAGCCGCAATAAAACGTGCCAGCTCCTGATCGATGTAGTCAACCGTAACGCCAAACGAGTCAGCCATATACTGGAGCGTGAGCGAGCGATACGACTCGAGCAGTTGCGTATAGCCCAGAATGCGCATCTCCCGCACATAATAGCGATAATGCGGATGCACAAGATAATCTGCACGTAGCTGCTTCTCGACTTGCGCCAGATACACGTAGAACTGCTCGTACTGGCAGTTGAATAGCGAGAACAGGAACTGCTTGACATCGGGTAGGCCGTGCAGCACTTCTTGAATCTCCGAGCCCTTGACCACCTTTTCGCGGAGCTCATTGCGGGGCAGCGCAATCATGGCCACGTACACGGTGTAGCGCACGAAGGTCGGATAGTCCATGAGCTCGTATGAGGTAAAGGTGCTGACGGTGTCCAGGAAGAAGGTGGCCGCCGCCTTGAAGTCGCGTATAGCAACCGAATAGATGCCTTGGTATACCTTGAGGCGGTTGCGACGATCCCAGTCGCCGCCCTCCTCGATCAGATACTTTGCCTTCTCGATGTTGCGTGTAATCAAATCATGATCCAAATAGAACAGGCCCAGACGAATTAAATGGAAGACAATGTCCAGGCGGTGGCCCAACGACACGGTCTTCTCGTACGTCTTGCGAAAGGCCGTCTCGGCAGCTGCCTTGTCACCAATACGGCACAAGTACTCCGATTTCTTAAGATTGGCCTCGCGCACCTCCATCTCGCCCAGATTCTTCTCGGCATCCTCAATGGCAGCGTCCAATTGTTCAACTGCAATGCGATTTTGTTCGCGCATACGTGCCAGCAAATCCTTGTCCACATTCCAGTTCAGCTCAGTGCAGATATGCTCGTACCATGGAGCCATATTGTCGGCGCGGATTGCATCCAGCAATTTGGTCTTGAGTGCTACATCTTGTTTGTGCTCCGCAAGCGTTAGAAGGAACTTTGTCTGTGCCAGATCCAGGTTGGGATTCTTCTCCAGACCCTGCTCTTCAAGGTTTTCGGCAGGCATTTTGTTTAAACTTTACGTCTCGATTAAATCAAACAGGGAAATTATTTCCGAGTGAAGATGAAATATGTTTTTGTCAAAGCCGCAGAGTCATGTACAAACTAAAGTTGGCTGCGATGATTTTAACAGTGTTGAAAACCTGAGCAATTTGTTATCGATAGTAGCGATGCAAAGTTGCTTATCGAAAAAAAGGGGAGTGCGAGACAATTGATTTTTTGTGGAAAAGTGATAAGAGGCCCCAAATTTGTGGAAAATTCTTGGTTTTCCGCCTAGTGCTAATCGTGTAGAGTACGAATTTTCGTAAGGCTAGCTTCCGAAACTAGAAAGCGCAAAAATGATTGGTGGTTTGTTTGTTTACAACCACAAAGGTGAGGTTTTAATCTCCCGAGTTTATCGCGATGATATCGGACGCAACGCCGTCGACGCTTTCCGAGTCAACGTCATCCATGCCAGGCAGCAGGTGCGCTCGCCGGTGACCAACATTGCAAGAACCAGCTTCTTCCACATCAAGGTACTTGCCACGTCAACCGGATGTCTGCTCAGCCTCTAATCCAATTCTCCCCTCCCCTCTCCTCCCCTCTCCTGCTCTTTTTTTAGCGTGCCAATATTTGGCTGGCGGCGGTCACCAAGCAAAATGTAAATGCTGCGATGGTATTTGAGTTCTTGCTCAAGATCATTGAGGTGATGCAGTCTTACTTTGGTAAGATCTCCGAGGAGAACATCAAGAATAACTTTGTGCTCATCTATGAGCTGCTGGACGAGATATTGGACTTTGGTTATCCGCAGAATACGGACTCGGGTACACTGAAAACGTTCATCACGCAGCAGGGCATCAAGTCGGCCACCAAGGAGGAGCAAATGCAAATCACCTCACAGGTCACCGGCCAGATTGGCTGGCGACGCGAGGGCATCAAATATCGACGCAACGAACTGTTTCTCGATGTGCTCGAGTATGTTAATCTGCTGATGAGTCCACAGGGTCAGGTGCTATCGGCTCACGTTGCCGGCAAAGTGGTCATGAAGTCCTATTTGTCAGGTGAGCCCCCGTGTGCTAATCCACTTTTTCCACATAATTAATTGAATTCGATTTTTAGGCATGCCCGAGTGCAAGTTTGGAATCAACGATAAAATCGTCATGGAATCCAAGGGCAGGGGCCTCTCGGGCAATTCGGAGGCGGAGACATCGCGCTCCGGCAAGCCGGTGGTGGTAATTGACGACTGCCAGTTCCATCAATGCGTCAAGCTGAGCAAATTTGAAACGGAGCACTCGATTAGCTTTATACCGCCGGACGGTGAATTCGAGCTGATGCGCTATCGTACCACGAAAGACATATCGCTGCCATTCCGTGTGATACCCCTGGTCCGAGAGGTGGGCCGCACCAAAATGGAGGCAAAGGTCGTGCTCAAGTCGAACTTTAAGCCCTCGCTGCTTGGCCAGAAGATCGAGGTGAAAATTCCCACACCGCTCAACACCTCGGGCGTGCAGTTGATTTGCCTGAAAGGCAAGGCCAAGTACAAGGCTTCGGAGAATGCGATTGTGTGGAAAATAAAACGAATGGCCGGCATGAAGGAAACGCAGCTCTCGGCTGAAATTGAACTGCTCGAAACGGATACCAAAAAGAAATGGACGCGACCGCCCATATCGATGAACTTCGAGGTGCCATTCGCGCCATCCGGTTTCAAGGTGCGCTACCTGAAAGTGTTCGAGCCCAAGCTCAACTACTCCGATCACGATGTGGTCAAATGGGTGCGTTACATCGGACGCAGCGGTCTCTACGAAACCCGCTGTTAAAGTTGGAAGGCCCAGAAGCCAGCCGAGCAAGTGTATCACATGGACGACAAAATATTGAAGAGAATTGAAAGCCATTTTGCCAATTCTCTCAATCGAATTGAACAAATGTTGTCGCATATTCCAAAATTTAGGCCCCTCCTATATCCTATATCCTATATATAGGCACAACCGCAACGGACATACCATTATATTATATTATTATTTACAATATTATATTATGTAATTTTATTATACAACGCGCGTCTAAAAATCTCACTCACATAATTTCTACTCTTTATGATTTGTATTATTATATTAAATGTTGCCCCTATGTATTTGGTAGACCAAAAACTGTCTAAAGAGCGCTAATAATATTGATATTCAAAATGTTGTTCGAATTGTTTAATAAATAAATAGCAAGATATGCATATACTCAAATAAATAAAGAGCGCGACTCTTCAAATAGTTGATAGTTGAGATGTGTGTCAACTGGTTTTATATATGTACATAGACTCTGGCCCGGCTAAAGTTAATTAGGAACCAAATGATAAATGCACACAGCTACAATATCGATTGAATGGAGAGCTCTATACACATATATAAAGATATCTTTAAAGTGTATATATATATATAAAATATTCGACTGTGGCCGTGTGCATGGCACTATCTGGAAAACTTGAGCTGAACAAAGTTCATTTTAGATTTAAACAGACGATAGTTGTCACCAGGCCTGGAAATTTTGTTTGCTTGCGTTCTTGGTTGGATATTAATTAATTGGAATTATATACGTATATATATATATATATATATGTATTTGTAGCCTGTCCGGCTTTGCCTTATCAATTGTCTGAATCATCATATCGAATTACGAAATTACCAGAGGCGATAACGAAAATCGGTATCGGGCCGCGCTGTGATTTTATATTGGTCAGTAAAAGACGGACGGAAAAAATGAATGCTCTTGTGCCCGATGTGGTCGATGAGGCGCCGCCCCAGGACAAGCTGAAGGTCAACTATGCGGGCCAGCTCGCTGTCCAGGAAGGCAACGAACTGACGCCCACCCAGGTGAAGGACGAGCCGCTTGTGACCTGGAACTCCGAGGAGGAGGAAGGCGATGATTCTGCTCTGCACACGCTGCTGATGGTGGATCCCGATGCGCCCAGTCGCGCGGAGCCCAAGTTCCGCGAGATCTTGCACTGGGCCGTGGTCAATATACCGGGCAACCAGCTAAACGAGGGCCAAACTTTGGTTGAGTACGTTGGGTCGGGTCCGCCACAAGGCACCGGACTGCATCGCTATATATTCCTGCTGTACCGCCAAAGCCAAAGGATCGAGGAGTCGCTGCACATAGACAGACGGTGCGTAAATGATTCCTCCAAAAGGGTTTTATATTGATTTCGATTGCAGCACTCGCCAGGGACGGCTGAACTTCAGTGCCCGGGAGTTTGCGGCTAAGCACGGATTGGGCAAGCCCATTGCCGGCAACTTCTATGAGGCGCAATACGATGACTATGTGCCCATACGGAACAAGGAGATAACCGGCTAGGCGGCTGCGCTCCAAAAATATATCATATTTATTATGCTGTAGTCGTTCTTCATGCCAATAAAGTCAACCGGGCCCCTATCAGCTGGGAGTCAGTGTGTCTTAGTTATCTGTATCTTTATCTTTATCTAGGCACGATGACTTGGCAGCGGAAGCGCCGTCCGCCGGATCGATAAATAGCGTACGCGCGACCATCGAGGCCAGAGTCACTGCTTTAACGCCAGACAGAGAGGAACATGGACACCAGCGGCATTATTCCCGACATTGTTGACGAGAAGCCCAAGGCTAAAGCGACGGTTACCTATCCGTCCGGCGCACAGGTGGATCTGGGCAAGGAACTAACGCCGACACAGGTGAAGGATCAGCCCACAGTTAGCTGGGATGCCGAAGCAGGCGCTTTGTACACACTGCTCATGGTCGATCCCGATGCGCCCAGCCGCACCGATCCCAAGATGCGCGAGGTGCTGCACTGGGCCGTCATCAACATTCCCGGCAACAAGGTCGCCGACGGCCAGGTGCTGGCCGAATACGTCGGCGCCGGCCCCGCCGAGGGCAGCGGTCTGCATCGCTACGTCTTCTTCGTGTTCAAGCAGGGCGACAAGATCACCAGCGACAAGTTCATCTCCAAGACGTGAGTCCGCCTCAAATATATCCCAACTTTTCCCATCTTTTATTTATGCCTGCCTTTTAGCACCCTGGAGGGCCGCCTCAACGTCAAGATCCGCGACTATGTGGCCAAATACAGCTTTGGCACGCCCGTTGCCGGCAACTTCTTCCAGGCGCAGTACGACGACTATGTGCCCACCATTCGCGCCCTGATCAAATAAGCAACAAATCAAATCACAAAGCAAAATAAACTTTTCCATAAGCAAAAACCTGGCTACGGCTTTATTTCCCTTCTGTTATTTGAAGAAGTCGGCGATGAGCTGATTGAACTCCTCGGCGTAGCGCAGATGGATGTTGTGCTTGCCGTCGGGAAACTCGTGGTAGCGCGCCTGCGGCAATCGCTGCTTTAGCCAGGGCACATGCTCGGCCGCAATCATCGGATCCTTTTTGCCGTGCAGTATAAATGTCGGCGCCTTCACTTGTCCGACTTCCGTGCGGCAAAAGTCGCCGTCGCGCTTCGCATAGAAATCACAAGCGGCGTCCACCCACTCCGCCCACAGCTGGGCGAAGCGTTCAGCTCCGTACACCCGTTCCATGGGTTCGCGCATGCGTGGTGACCATTTGGCTACGTCGCGGATCGCTTGCAGCGCCTTCACCTCGTCCGCATTCAAATAGGCGCCGGCACCCCAAATGGCCAGCTTTTCCACGGCATCGGCATGACGTCCCGCGACTATTAGGGCTGTGATGCCGCCATCGCTCCAGCCGAGGATGGAGAACTTGGGTCTGTTCAGGGCACGCATCAGATTAACGGCTGCCTCGGCATCCTTGCGAAAGAACTCCAGTCCGAACTTGCGTTGCGGCGGCACCGACTTCCCATAGCCCGGCGGATCCCAGGCAATTATCGTGTGATCCGGCAGCAGACTGGGCAGCTGCTCGATTTGTGGCCTAAAGTCCGTCCAGGCCGAGCCCAGAGCGCCGGGCATCAGCAGCAAACTGCGCGATCCGCTGCCGCATTCGACAATGTGCAAGTCACCGGCATCTTTGACCTGCACCTTGCGCTCCGTGTGCGCACGTCTGGCCAATCCGGGCAATAGACGACCTGCAGCCAGACGGCTCAGTTGAGTGCCTGAGAGCATTACGTAAGGAGCTGGTATTAACAAAATCAACTTTAGTCAAATCGTCCGCTTCAAGTGCACTTTAAATTAGCGCGTTTTCATTCTTGTTTGTGTAAATACACATACACAGGTGCACAGAGGTGCGCACACAGGTGCCTTGTAAAGTGTTCGATAAGCGCTCTGATAAATCGCACAGCTGTAATCTTTCGGCGGGTAGCGGAGATTCCCGTCCGGCAAGCTTTTTGCGTTTTGTTTGTTGTTTTCAGCTCTTGCTGCGTAAAGCTTTACAGCACTGGTTCGATAACTATGAATATAGTTGAACCGTTATTAACACTGATGACTAATTGTATTCAAAAATGGTATACAGGGCTGTTATTAGTGTGCAACGCCATTTCAAACTTCTATTTGTAAACATTAAATCATTTGTATACATAATCATATAAATTCACCCATAACTCAAACATAGCCTTTCGGATCTTGGCCACTTCATGACTATTATATATTGCCCAATTTAAATCCACAAATGTGTATGGCAAGAGTTAGCGATTTTTATGACGCACGAAAGTATGCATTAATTTCAAAGTTTCAACATAAATTGGAATTAAGAAAATGCTTGTGTTCTTATTGCACATCACATAAATATGCAATGATTTTATATATCAATTAGTTTCAGTGACTTAATTTACATGCCCAACTGCATGCCATACATTGCAAATAAAATTGCCATAATTATAACATTTTATAGCAAGTTGTTAAAGGAGCCGCATTCAGCTGTAGCCACTCGCCCGAATCACCCTGTCTGCACTCGTTTCAAAGCTACTTGCTATGAGAGCACTCAGTCGCTGCAGCACATTGCAGCAGTCTGTTCGAGCGTCCGAAAGGACAGCGCGATTTTGTGAATTTAATTCTGCTCGACATTGCGCCCGAAATGGAAAATAATTAAAATAAAATTTAAATACATTCTGGTTAGTGCGTGATTTCAATGCCGAAGAATATGTGCAGATGCATGCACATTCGTATGTACATAAAATATAATCGTGTCGGCCTTCCAAGATTCGTGCAAAACTGCATACTATACGCGATTAACGCAAGAGTTCCCCTTAAAAGAGACGCATGTGGTCAAGCGAACCCACAAATAGCCCACACACACAGCCCACACAGACATTAACTCATACACACACACACACGCAGCAAATGCAAATCGAATTTGACGCTGAGCTGTCGAAGTTGTGAAGTGTGTGTAATAAATGTCAAGGCATTTACACGGGTCGTCCTAGACGTCCCTGTATAAGTGTATGTACATACATATTCTGTCCCTTCTAATACGCTTCGAGTGGTGCAGGTTATGAACCTGCGTGTTCTGCGCTCATTACGCATGTGTGTGAGTGTGCTTCTTTGTGCTTGTGTGTGCCTGTGTGTGTGTGCATATGTATGTTAGTAGTACGCATATGCATGGCTCGTCGAAGTAAGGGAGCTTTTAATTTTTGGCATTCTGATGCCCTACACACGGCAGTCGGGCTTATTCGTAGCCTAACCCCAGGCGCCAACAAGAGTACAACCGAAAGTATTTGCATCTAAGCAAGCAGAAATTGTTATATTATTAATATAGTTCACTGCGTTGTTTGTACAGTGTCAACGTTTGTTATTCGTGTACAATTTGTAGTCAGTGTAGCGTCTAAGCTGTGTCAGTTAAGCCGCCTGCTGGCACTCTGTGAAAACGCTGTCGGAGCTTTCGTTATCCATTGGAAACGCTGCTAGAGAAATTGAGTTTGAAATTGCAGTTCAGTCTTGTCGTGAATGCAGCGCAGATCGATATTAAAACCTGGAGCAGCGGGTGGCGCTTTGACAAAAATTCGACATTTAATTTTTGTATCCCCATTTGGGTAGAAATTCCCAAAAAAAATTTCAAGCATCTAATTCACCAGCTTCATATTCCGTACAAAAGTTAAATCAAAATTGTTGGAAAAATTAAAAAAAAAGTGTGTTACAAATCGAGTTGAACAGTTGTGTAAGCAAATCAAGTGCTTGAACAAAATCAGCACTAAAAGGTGAAATCAATAGTTCAATTAATAATAATGTGCTTAAACTAAAAAGATAATTGTTTATTTCATATGTAGAAATATTACCTCTGATGTGGCATTAAAAAATTTTCGCCTACGTACAGTGAAAATTTTCCGATTTTTAGTATGTACATGTACGTTGAGGCGCTTGTGGGCGCCGCAGTAGCAACGGGCGGAGGGGGCGTCCGGCGAGCTTTTGCCACCCCTACGCCAAGCCACATATTCGGCTGCTAACGGTTTGCTAACACGAATAAATTGTAAGAAAAGAAAAAAAATGTGCACGCTCGTGAGCAATTTGTCAAGCAATATGCAAATTAAGTCTACAAAATGCCAAAAACTCAAAGAACATTGCAATCGAAAGTGGAAAACAAGGCAACATTAGCAACAATTTAAGTGATTTGTGCTAAAGAAAAAACAAAAAAGAAAAGAAAAGTAACGGTAACGGTAGCGTAACAGCGTAACAACAGCCGCAGCCAACTTTGCGTACGACGAGCTTTACTCTCCCACTCTCTTTCGCTCGCTCACTCTCTGTCTTTTGATTGACGCTCTCACACACGTCTCACACACGACTACACAAAGAAAAGTTCAATGAAAGTTACACGCGCGGATAAAATTCCAAAGTGTTTCGGTCTCGTGTAGTAATAGTAGACACCAATACAAGGACACGGAAAGCTGCCCGTCAAGGACTGGAATACGAATACGAAAAGGAATACGAATACGCAGAAAGAGCAAGGCGACATTTTTACGTTTTACGCGCGCAACTCCGCATGCTTGTATTAGTGCGTGCGTGCGTGCGTTCGTGCGTCCGTGTGTGTGTGTGAATGAGCGCGCGCCAAGTGCAACATATCTGAGTTAAAGAGATTAAGATATACATACATACAAAAAAGGGACACAGACTATGCACTTGCGGCAATGATAGCCCACAGCATGGAGAACGCCCACAAAATGGACGAGCTGCTGTCCAATGCGCTGTTAAAGCCCGATAATCGGCTACTGCCCGAGCCAGACGAGGCGCCCTGCTCCTCCTCCTCCTCCTCCTCCGACTTGCTGTTCAATAAGGCGCGCCGCCGGCGAAGAGATCTCGCCGAGACTCGCTCACGTCCTTGCCCACGGCCAGCCATTGTGCTGGTGGAATATCGTCGCTCATATCGGGTGCTGATTGTGACGGCGCTTCTGGTCAGCCTGGTGGCCAGTTTTATAACGATCAGTGCCGGCTTCCAGCTGGATGGATCGCAGAGCTCTTTCTACACCTTTCGCAAATGGTATACGGGTCTGAATGGCACGCTGGAGCTGGAGTTCAAGACGGAGCAGCCCAACGGCCTGGTCCTCTATACGGACGACGGCGGCACCTACGATTTCTTCGAGCTCAAACTGGTTGAGGGCGCACTGCGTCTGCGCTATAATCTGGGCGGCGGTGCCCAGATCATCACGGTGGGACGCGAGCTGCACGACGGACACTGGCATAAGGTGCAAGTGCTGCGCAACGATGATCAGACCTCCTTGATTGTCGACGGCGTCTCACAGCAGCGCTCCACCAAGGGCAAGGAGTTCCAGTTCGGCAAATTCGCCAGCAACTCGGATGTGTATGTCGGCGGCATGCCGAACTGGTACAGCAGCAAGCTCGCCTTGCTGGCCCTGCCCAGCGTCATCTTTGAGCCACGCTTCCGTGGCGCCATTCGCAATCTCGTCTATGCCGATCAGCCGGGCGGCGTCACCAGGCGGCAGGAAATGAAGCAGCCGCGTGACATTAAATGTGGCGACGCGCCTTGTGACCATGGCGAGATGCCACCCCGCGAAAGAGGAATGAGGGTAAGTGTCTAATAAAAATCTAAATAAAATTTGAATATACTCGAGTACTTATTATTCTCTATATAAATAACTGTTTGTGCTGACTGATTGACTGACTTATTGACTGACTGACTGACTGATTGAGTGATTGAGTGATTGAATGACTGACGGACTGACTGACTGACTGACTGACTGACTGACTTACTGACTGAGTGACTGACTGACTGACTTACTGACTGACTGATTGACCGACTGACTAATTGACTAATTGACTGACTGACTGACTGAGTGATTGATTGACTGACTGACTGACTGACTTACTGACTGACTTACTGACTGACTTACTGACTGATTGACTGACTGACTTATTGACTGACAGACTGACTGACTGAGTGAATGACTGACTGACTGACTGAGTGACTGACTGACTGACTGAGTGACGGACTGACTGATTGATAATCGACACATAGCCCAAGCTGTATAGAGCTGCACACTAATACGGATCTTGGGAGAGTTCCACCTGCAAGTGTGGAAAAAGAGCGAAAAACGCTTGAGTCAAACTTTTTTTTTACCATCCGATTAGCCTCAAACTCATTTTCTATGATCTTTGTCCAAATTCATATGAGACGTGTTTTATACTTTGTGAAAAATCTATCTCTCCTTGGAATAAACGGAGGTCAAGGATTTGTTGTGTAAATTCTTAAGCATAAAATTATTTTCAAGGAATGAAAATTTATTCGTGATGTGCTGCACTTTTCTTGCAAAACCCAAGCTTCTTTCGGTGGAAATGCGGTTCAAAGATTTCATTTATGAGGTTGGAAAGTGCGGGTTAAAGGTTGGATGAGCAAAAGTTTTTTTTGGCTTAAAGATGCTCAACACGAGACTAAAATGGGCGGAAAACGTTGATTTCAACTTTCGGTTCTTATTTCGAAGGACTTCAAACTCATTTTCGTATATCAATGTAAAATATAACTAATATGTGGGGTTTAAGACAAGGATAAGAATAAGGAAATGGGTAATATATGTCTACAATTTGAAGCAAAACTTGAACCAGGCGGCGCCGGGAAATGCCAGCTAGTATAGTAGATATAGCCCGACCTTTGCTGGTCCAATTAATTTTAAAACTTAAACTTACTCGTACTTTTCTTTTCTCCATCTGGAGATCGTTAAAAAGATGACCTCGGCCAACATTGAGCCCGGAGTAGATATTCCAATATTCCGATAGCGAGGGAATGAATTACCCAACATAGCGTAAAAGCCGTTACAATCCAAAAGTCTAACGTCCGCAAAGTCTTTTCTTAGTTATCGCACGTTAAATATCGTGCGATAACTAAGAAAGTTATCGATAGGAGGTTCAGCTTCACGTTGCGTCGCTATCTGCGACGATAGTTAAAACCGTTATTGAAAAAAATTTTATGTATAGCCTTAAAAAGTATTTCGAATAGGGATTATTGTGTATTAAAAGCAGTTAAGAATACATCAAAGTGCAATCTTCTTTTATGTTTTTATTTTGCATCAATTTTTGACTTGCGTTTAATTGTTGTAGGGCGTTCGCGGCAACACAACCGACGCCTGTGAGCGCAACGATCCCTGCCAGCATGGCGGCATATGCATATCGACTGACTCGGGTCCAATATGCGAGTGTCGTAATCTGGAGTACGATGGCCAGTATTGTGAGAAGGAGAAGGCGCCATCCGAAGCAACGTTCCGCGGTACACAGTTCCTCTCGTACGATCTGGGCCAGACGGGCGCAGAGCCCATTGTCAGTGCCCAGGATGCCATCTCCTTCTACTTTCGCACCCGGCAGCCGAACGGACTGCTCTTCTACACGGGCCATGGCACTGACTATCTGAACCTGGCGCTGCGCGATGGCGGCGTCTCGCTAACCATGGGCCTGGCCAATGGCAAGCAGGAGATGCACATAAAGCCCGCCAAGGTGCGATTCGATGATCATCAGTGGCACAAAGTGACCGTCCATCGCCGCATTCAGGAAATCTCGTCCATAACCAGCTTCTGTCGGGTGCGTATTTATTTCCACAAAGTGCTCAAGGGCAAAGATCTGATTGGCGCTGCTCTTCTACAGCTCGTCACGGTCGTGGATGACGTTTACACGGATCACTCGCACATCGCCGGCAAGTTTACCATGCTCTCCTCCTCGCGCGTCTATGTCGGCGGCGCTGTCAATCCTCGTGCTCTGCTCGGCGCTCGCGTGCACAACAACTTCGTCGGCTGCCTGCGCAAGGTGGAGTTCTCGGCGGACACGTTGAACCTTAATCTCATCGATCTGGCCAAAAGCGGCTCCAAGCTAATACAGGTGGCTGGCAATGTGGAATACCAGTGCCCCAGCGGCGATCCCCAGGACCCGGTCACATTCACCACACGCGAATCCCATTTGGTAAGTTATCCGGGAAGTCGGTTCTCTTCAAGCTTATCCCCTATCCCGGACCCGTTTAGGTGTTGCCCCCCTGGGAGACGGGCAAGCAGAGCTCGATAAGCTTTAAATTCCGGACTAAGGAACCCAATGGCATCATCATATTGGCCACGGGCTCCAAACAGCCACGCGCCAAAAACGTAAGCCCCTAAGCCTTAATTTCACTTATCCTCCAGCTGCTAATCCTCCATCGTTGCAGCCTGTGTTGATTGCCATTGAGCTGCTCAACGGTCACATCTATATACATCTGGATCTGGGATCGGGCGCCTCGAAGATACGCGCCTCGCGACGCCGCGTGGACGATGGCGACTGGCACGATCTCATCCTGCGCCGCAACGGTCGCGATGCCAAGGTGAGCGTGGACGGTGTATGGAACGATTTCCGTACGCCCGGCGACGGCACCATACTCGAGCTGGACGGACACATGTATGTGGGTGGCGTTGGGCCCGCCTACAATAGCGTTGCCTGGCCGGCGGCCATCTGGACGGCGACGCTGCGTCAAGGATTTGTCGGCTGCTTGCGTGACCTGGTGCTCAGCGGCAAGGCGATCGATATAGCAGCCTTTGCACGCGTTCAGGATTCCGGTGAGTGTGTCCCCTTCCATTTGTTATATGGTAAACATGTCCTGATTTGCCGCATTTTCTGCAGCTTCTGTGAAACCGTCGTGCCATGTGCAGGGCAATGTGTGCGGAGGCAATCCCTGCCTGAATGGCGGCACTTGTCTGGAGGGCTGGAACCGACCCATCTGCGACTGCTCGGCAACCCTGTACGGCGGACCTACCTGCGGCCGGGAGCTGGCCACCTTGGCCTTCAATGGCAGCCAGCACATGACCATTTGGCTGGCCAATGGCCAGGGCACCAAGACCCAAACGGAGGAGCTAGTCATACGCTTCAAGACATCGCGACCGGCCGGGCTGCTGCTCCTAACCAGCGCCGAATCCAACTCGCCGGATCGACTAGAGATCGCGCTAGTAGCGGGTCGTATTCGCGCCAGCGTTCGGCTCAGCGATCGGGAGAAGGTCAGTTCTCCAGCTTCACAGCTTCAAGCAACTAATGTATCCATATTCTGCAGAACCTGCTCGCTGGCCAATCGGTGCTCAATGACAATAATTGGCACACCATACGCTTTTCGCGCCGAGCGTCCAATTTGCGTCTACAAGTCGACGGGGCTCCCCCCGTCAGGGGTATGTTATGTATGTATCAACAGCACCATCTATTGCCCTACTACGTGTCGTGCCGTGTCGTTTTTTTGAAAGGAAACTCCTTCTCGAGTCTCCTGCTAATCCATATATACTCCTTGTTAGTTTCTAACTGAAGTGTGCCCTCCAGCAACAACAAGTTCAAGCCCCAGCTCCAATATCAACCATTTTATATCGACAGTTATAGCCAGAATACAGTTATATATACCCCCTGCTCCGCCCCCCTTTTGGCGTGAAGGTGTGTGAAGGTGCTAGGATTTCAATTCAAAAAAAAAAAAGTGCAGTCAGCAGCGGTTTTTTCGGTTTTTCTAAACTTCAATTTTTACTTTGAGAGATTTTTAAGTTGACTTTTACACACACACACACATGCACGACAATAAACACACACACATATACACATGCAATAAAAAAAAAACAGGATATTGATAAGGAAATAACTTAAGGAAAACCTTAAAAATATATCATATATTTGCTTTCCCATATACGTTTGCTTTCCCAACATTTCTTTGTTGCTCATTACGCATTTCTCATTTCTTAACGGCATTTGGACATTTGTCACGATCATTACACACATATTTATATACCCATATTCACAGTCACCGTTACACACACCAATACATTGTACGCCCCTTTCACGTAATTACGTAACTACCTTAACTCCATTTACTTTGTATTTGAATTGATTTTGAATCCCAAAAAAGAAGATGATGTTTCCATTTGAATACTCGTTCCATAATCATTTATTTTGACTCTCGTTAGTTTTTTTGAGACTTTTTCAAACATCTTGATGTTGTGTTTTCATTTGCGATACCTCTTACTCTGCCATATAAGTATTTTGTTATGATTTTTTATTCGACTATATGATTGCCAATACCATTTCAATGAATTAACTTATCAGCAATACATAGCATACATAACTATGTATGTATGTATGTATATTCTCTTATGTATAAATAAGAATACATTTAAAACAAAAATAGAGTTCGTTTTAAAAGACAAATCCAGGTGTACAGCTGCCAAAAAAAAAACGCATTGAATGTTATACATACATATGAAATTGATTGTCTTGTAAATTGTTATGTCCTTGAAAATATTATCATATTGAGTACTTATAGATGTACATGAATATTATTCATCTTTGGGTTACATTATTATGACCTTGATGTTGAGTTGATGGCTTTTCGAATAACTAAATTAACAATTAATTCGAAAATATATAAGAATTGTGTATGTCTTTACTTTTCGTGCTGTAGTCTTACAGTTCATTCCTTGTTCAACACTAACGCTTAACATAATCTGTTACTTACATGGGACCTGCTGCCATTGTGACCGTGTGTACTTCTGTTAATACAGGCCATGTGACGTCACAAAATGTCATTATTTTGAATGGCCAGACTCAACATCAAGCATTGTAAATTGATTATAATTTATGATTTATGATTTGATTTGCTATTGTTTTCATGTAAATATCAAAGATTTGTACTTACAGGCATAATTAGTATAAGCTAAACAAAGAAAGTGTGTTTAAATAACTGCCATTTAATAATTAAACGACACGTGTGGTATGTGAACAGATTGTTTCAGGAGTGTGTAATTAAAATGCATATGTGTTTCTTTTATATGTAAAAACATAACAACAGCAGCAGCAGCAACAACAGCAACTAATGTCGAATGCAAATGCAATTTTCTAATCACAAATGTGATCTTAACGACCTTTTCTATTTCAAAATGCAAACAGCAACAATGAAAAGCGAAAAACGTGAAAAGAAAGTAAAGAAAAACCAACGAAAATATTTCAATTGCAATTTCAATTCTTTTAGGCGAGAGCAAAAAAAAAAAATCGACACGCAAGAACTCGGTGAAGCATTTTTTTGCCAAATCGCTCGATAAAAGTCGCGTCAAGGATGCGAGCGTGACGACAAAAGAAAATAAAAAAATGAGAAAGTAACTGTAAATGAAAATGTTAAGAAAATGCTGTCCGAGCGCACGCGACCTGTGACTTATTGAGACGAGAAGGCAAAACAATGTTTGGAAGCACCCAGGGCTGTAATTTTGCACCATTTAATATGTAATTAGCTTTGTGTTAAGTAAACTACTTATGTACTAGTTAATAACTACTACTAGCTAATAAGCGTGTCCAAACTAGTTTCTCGTTGTGTGTAAGTGTCGTAAATGTGAAAGCTCGCCAAGAAGCGGCGCCGGCGCCAGCAACCAGGCGGCTCCCGTGGACGCTTCCTGGCTGCTTGCCCTCCCTCCCCCCCGGGGCCAGATTTGGCCGGTGCACACATACACGCACGCACGCGCGCACACACGCACGCACACAAGCACACGCGAATATTTGCTGCACCTCGGTTGTTATGTACACACGCACACGCACACCAATAACTTTTGCACACACCACACACGTCAGCGTTTGCATGTGCGCACCTGAAATAAATGAGAACGCAACAAAAAAAATAAAAAAGGAAGCAAAATTAATAACTTTGAATAAACAATAGCCGAAAATCGCATGACTTGCTGTACATGCCACGCTCTATATATATATATATAACTCTCTCTCTCTCTCTCATATTTCTCTTTTTGTCGAGTACTTAAGAAAATTAACTGTCACAATTCAAATGCGGCTAATTATATGGTTAAAAAAGCAGCTGCAACAATTGTGAACCACTTTGCATTTCACCTAGTTTTAGTCAATTTCATTTCTCTCCATCACTTTCTATCTCTCTCTCTCTCTCTCTCTCTCTCTCTCTCTGTAAGTCCAGTTATCGCTTTCGGCAGTCATTTGCATGTCCAGATATCAATCATTTCCACGCGTGGCCCACGCGTCGTATGCGCCTTGTGGTCGCTGCCCGTTGAGGCAAATGCACCGTTATTAGCTAGACGTAGTCAACGTATAGGTGACACGCACACACCAACACACACACGCACACATACACAACATAACCCATTTATACAAACTGTACAAGATTTGAGTATAAATTGCAAATCGATGTTTAGTTTCAATGTCGTTCAAAAATGAAGCAAAATTCACAATATTATAACGTGTTCTTTTTTGTTTTTTTTTTTATTTTCGAGTTTCGTTTAGGTGAAAAAAGGAAAAGAAAAAATTATAAAAAATAAATTCTAACATTTTCTTTTTCGGTTTCATTTCTTAATCCTTGGTTAATATTCTTTCAAGCAATGCACCTAATGAATAAAAAAATGTCACCGCTACGTAAAGTAATCGCAATGAAATTGTATCTCACACACCAAATACCCTATAAAATGCCATATGCCTACTCAGTATGTATGTGGTTAGATATATATATATATGTATATGTATGTATATCAACAAGCGCACCCAACTAACCTAACCTAACCTAACTATATATAGTACTTATTTACCTAACTACACTAGTCTAACGATTATTCATGGAGCGTTTATCTTTAATTTTTCTCTATATTTATCAGTTCACACACACACACACACATGTGTATACATATATATGATAACTATCCGTAACTGTGCACCTTTCTTTAGTATGTACCCAAAGCTGCGACTGTCGAGTGACACCTAACTAAATACTCTAAAAAAACTGCTTGAAACGATTTTGAATCAAACTTAGCTCTATGTCTACTAAATGCATACAACTATATACTCCACTATATACTCTACTACTACTCTATATACTCTTTACTCCATTTTGAATACAAATGCGTATGTGCTTCTTGTAACTAAAACATTCGTTTCGTCACCAACAACAACAACTAATATATCCATATCTCGTATACATATATACTATGTAGTACAGTACACATACATGTATGTATGTGTGTATGTATGTGTATGCCTTAACCTATACCAAATGTTAACGGTACTCTAGTCTAACTAAACAATTAGACCCGGCTAGCCCGTTTCCCTCGAGGTTTATCAATCTATGCTGTATATTCTTTGCACAGCTGAGACAATACTGGGACGCCACAGCACCATGGAGATCCGTTCGATTCATCTGGGCGGGCTGTTCCACGCCGAGGAGGAGATCCAAATGACCTCGACCATGCCGAACTTTGTGGGCCAAATGCAGGGCTTCATATTCAATGGTCAGCGGTAAGCAAAGGAATCTTTTTCTGGCTCTTAGTTGGCACCTAAATCCTTTATTGGTTTCTCTCTTAGTTACCTGGACATCGTTAAGTCGCTGGGACCGGAGCTGTCAGCGCTGCCGAGCGCCACGTTCAAGCTGACGGCACGGTTCGTCAACTCGCCGGCGGGACAGCCGTATCATGCGGCCACCTTTCGCTCCAAGCACTCGTATATTGGTCTGGCCATGCTCAAGGCCTACACGAGCATATCGATAGACTTTCGCTTCAAGACCGTCGAGCCGAATGGCCTGCTCGTCTTCAATGGCGGGCGACGCAATGATTTCGTCGCTGTGGAGCTGGTCAACGGACACATACACTACACATTCGATCTGGGCGATGGGCCTGTGACGATGCGCGATAAGTCGCGGATACACATGAACGACAATCGCTGGCATCAGGTCAGCATTAGGCGGCCCGGACCCAAGACGCACACATTGACCGTGGACGATTCGTTTGAGATAATCACATTGACCGGCAACAATATGCATCTCGAGCTGGCGGGCATCCTCTATATTGGCGGCGTATTCAAGGACATGTACTCGAAGCTGCCGGGCTCAATATCGTCCCGTTCCGGTTTCGAGGGTTGCCTGGCCTCGTTGGATCTGGGCGATAGCTCGCCCTCGCTGACCAGCGATGCGGTTGTGCCCAGCTCGCTGGTGGTCACCGGCTGCGAAGGACCGACCAAGTGCAGCCAGAATGCGTGCGCCAATCGCGGCGTTTGTGTTCAGCAATGGAATGCCTATGCCTGCGAATGCGACATGACCTCCTACACGGGTCCGACCTGCTATGACGGTGGGTTTCATTTTGAAAGCTTACCTAGAGTTTACCAATTTAAATATATGTATATTGTAGAGTCCATTGCGTACGAGTTTGGCAACAACAAGGGCATGGTGCAGTACAGCTTCCCGGAGAATTCACAGGCAGACACCGAGGAGGACAACATTGCGCTGGGCTTCATCACGACCAAACCGGATGCCGTGCTGCTACGCATCGAGAGCGCCACCACGCAGGATTACATGGAACTGGAGATTGTCGAGGGCAATATCTTTATGGTGTACAACATCGGGAGCGTGGATCTGCCGCTGGGCGAGATCGGCACCAAGGTCAACGACAATGCCTACCATGTCGTGCGATTCATCCGCAAGGGCGGCAACGCGACCCTCCAGCTGGACGACTACAATGTGCAGGCGCTCACGCCGCAGGGTAAGTTGGAGTAGTTCTCTTCGAAGATCTCTCTGTTGATCTGGAATCTCTCTCTGTTTCGGACAGCACACCACTCGACCGTCTTCAATACCATGTCCAATATTCAGGTGGGCGGCAAATTTAGCCGCAACGGTCGCACCAGGATCGAGCGTCCATTTGCGGGCGTCATTGCCGGCTTGTCGGTGAACAAGCTGCGCATTTTGGATCTGGCCGTTGAGCGCGATCCGCATATCAGCATTCGTGGAGATGTTCAATTGGTAACTGGAGTATTAGATAGAAATGATCTGCAGAGAATGCAGCAGGTTAGGGAATTTATTTGAAATTTTACTTTCAATTCCTCTCTCAACTTTCAAACTTTTCAAGTATTTTTCTCATCGTAACAAAACAAGTTTATTCCAAATTCTTTCTTTAATCAACCAAAAACCAAAATTAAATCGAAATATCGTCAATTAATCAGCTTTATTCGTTGTGTGTGCGAACCGCATTTCCTGCTCTACAAATATTAATTGTACAGTCCAGATACAGATACAGATACAGATACAGATACAGATACAGATACAGATACAGATACAGATACAGATACAGATACAGATACAGATACAGATACAGATACAGATACAGATACAGATACAGATACAGATACAGATACAGATACAGATACAGATACAGATACAGATACAGATACAGACACACAGATACAGATACAGACACACAGATACAGATACAGACACACAGATACAGATACAGACACACAGATACAGATACAGACACACAGATACAGATACAGATACAGCTATAGATACAGATACAGATACAGATACAGATACAGATACAGATACAGACATACCGATACAGATACAGATACAGATACAGATACAGACATACAGATACAGACATACAGATACAGATACAGATACAGATACAGATACAGATACAGATACAGATACAGACATACAGACATACAGACATACAGACATACAGACATACAGACATACAGACATACAGACATACAGACATACAGACATACAGACATACAGACATACAGACATACAGACATACAGACATACAGACATACAGACATACAGATACAGATACAGACATATAGACATACAGACATACAGACATACAGACATACAGACATACAGACATACAGACATACAGACATACAGATACAGACATACAGATACAGATACAGATACAGATTAAATGTGATGCAGGCGGGAAATTCGGTTGCACATTGAAAACTTAAACTTAAACTAAAACTAACTAATTAGCTACTAAATGTATAAGCTAGTGTAAATGCCATATTTGATTTCCGTTTATACTCCAAATATATTTATATATATATATATATTCATTTCCCTTGGTTCTGTCAGTCTTCCACATTAATCTTAACGCAACGCTTTTTGTAACCAGCACCAGCAAATAATCTCCCCCCAAGAAATTGCCACTAATCAGTTTTTTGCACAGCATAAGCAATAATCAATACATATATATATTTAACCATATATATGTATGTATTATGTATAACTATTTATAAGTACTCACATCTATAGATATACATATCCAGATAGATTTATCGTTTCGTTTGCACTGTAACTCGCCTCGTTTCGGTTTGAAGCCAGTTTAAACGCACTAACGCTGCATGACTCTGTACATAATCAGCACAAAATACTCAAATACACTACACTACATAGTACATGAGCTAACACATCCATTTACACACAAGCATATATAATACCCAAACTCAGAGAAAAAATCATTAATCAAATTGTATCTCAAGAAAGTGTTAAATATTTCACTTTCATTTAAAGTCATTTTTTTATATTTTAATAGTTCTGTAAAATTTGTGCTTTTATTTAAAAAAAAAATGTTTGCGACTAATTCAGGCCCAATTTCTGCCTTTATTCAGAAAAAAAAATCATGAATTTCATCCTAAATTCAAGTTTAGCAGCGAAAATTGTAGCTTAAAAAAGTTTGCCGAGCTTTTAAAATAAGACAAATATTTTACTTTCATTAAGTTCTGTTTTTTATTAAGTCCAAAATTAAACTAAGTAACTTAAAGTTTATTTATTTTTTTTAAGCCGAGATTCTAAGAGACAAGATTCATTTTGTTAAATATTTTACTTTCATTAAAAGTTTTTGTTTTAAATATTTTATTAAGCCCAAAATTAATGAAAATTAAAAAAAAATCAAAAAAGTTCCGTGAATTTTTTTACTTTTATTTAATTTTGAAGTCTAAGCCGCACTTAATTTAAGAAAGTCAAAATGTGCTTGAAATATTAGCAACAAAATTGATTTATTTCTATCCGAGAAAGTTTTTTTTTAATGCCGAAATTCTAAAAGATAAGTCTTATTATTTTAAATATTTTACTTTCATTAAAAGTTTTTTTTTTTAAAAATATTTTGTTAAGCTCAAAATTGTTAAGAAACTTAAAAAGATAAAAATCGTTTTTTTTTTTTTACTTTTATTTAACTTGGATACCTCGCACTTAATCTAAGAAAGTCAAAATATGCTTGAAATATTAGAAAGAAAAATGTATTATATCTACCCCAGCTATATTCTGGATATATGTACTGATTTTTTCTCTGAGTGTACACATCACTTGGTTAACATATAATGCACCTACTCGAGTAACAATCACTAACAAAACAATAATAATCGCTTGGCCAGTTCGGCGTTAGATCAACTGAAGTAAATTTAGACTTTGAATTTTACTCGACTACAGACGCCAGCGAGCGGCTATCCGGGCGCCATAGACGATCTGATCTTCTCCGGGGCCGGGTCCGGTTGTCGCGGCGACGACGAGGACGAGTGCACGCCGCCATTCGAGTCCGGCAGCGGCGATGATCTGATAACGCCCGTCTATGTGCCGCCCACCAAGCAGACGACGACCACGCAGCAGTCCAACAGCAACAACAACAACAACAACACGAACAACAACAACATGAACAACAACAACAACAATGGCACGGAGCGCGCCTGCGATGATGAGGACTGTGTGCATGGTTCCGGGGATTATGGCGAGACAACGGAACAGTTCACATCGACCAGCACGGCCAAGGCTGCAGGTGAGCTCCTTCTCCTTTTTTATTTGATTTTCTGATTGATTTTCTGCCAGTGTGGTGTCATTTTGTCATTGACATTTGCATCACACATCACATCATCAACAGACACAATTAGCTAGCCAAACTGTATTGTTCGAGTACATATAATATATATATATCCATATGTATATAAGTAGAACTAGAACGTTTCACGTGCCTAGCACACACACACACATATATATAAGCGTGTGTGTGTATTAACTTCTAGTTAAGCCGCTTTTCAGTTAAAGATGTTCTTCTCTGGGTTTTTGCGCGCCTTGAACTATGCTACGCTTTTGAACGCTTACAAAAAAACACACAAACACACAGACATACATATCACAGATACACACACACATTGATCAGCTTAAGCTCAGAACATTTAGACTGGACAACTAGAGTAAAAGAATGGGAGCACGCAAAGTCGTCTTGGTTCGCATGCTCAGACAGCAAGAGAGTAAGAAATGTGGTAGAACGGCATCGCTGTGTTGTTATCTCGCTCTCACTACAGGCAACTGCTTTGGCTTACGCTCAACCATATGATTAGTGTTGTAGAACGGCATCGCTGTTAACTCGCTCTCTAACTCTCAGTGCTCTCAATGCTCTCTCTTTATGTTAAGGGATCGTTTAAATGTGTGTGTGTGGTCCCATTCTTTGACTCTAGTTGTTCAGTTCATATATTTTATGCTTAGTGTTTTAACTCAACTCTCGAAAATCAATACTCAATCTCAGTCTCACTCAACTCGTGTCATCCTCAGTTCAGCCTCAGTTCAGCGCCCGAAAAAAAAGTCGCCCACTTCATGCACTTTGTTGTTGATGATGCTTCTAATTTGAACTGACAATGAGTACGCCTTATGTGTCTCTTTCAGAATGTGAACACGTCTTCATATTTCTGACTGTGATTGCGCCTTGGATACTCTGTAAATTTAACTAAAACTAATACAAATCGAAATGCGATACGCAAATACAAAGCAATGCACATAGGCTAAGCTCCTAAATAGACAGTGTCTAACTACTTATATACCTATATATATACATTATATATATATACAATATATTTAGCATATATGTATTATATGTATCTGAGCAATACCACCAACAACAGCAACAAGATATCGAACAACAACAACAACTCCAATTAATCCTACAACTATTTAAACAACACACGAAAAAAAGCGTTTGGGCTGGGTTCAAGGATCAGGGGCACTTTAACATTAATCGAGTAGGTTTAAAGCGAACCGAACTTTATTGATGTATTGAAGAAAATAATTTTTAAAAACATTTCTCTCGTTGCAAACTTTCTTAAATTAAAAAAAATTATACTTTTCACAATGTTCACAAAAGATATTTGAACCTAAAAGTATTTTCCTGAAGGGAAAATAATTTTTTAAAAAACTTTTCCAAACATTTCTTTCATTACAAATTTTCTTAAATTAAAAAAAATATACATTTTAAAATGTTTTCAAAAGATATTTGAACTTACAAAAATACTTTTCAAAAACTTTTCTATAAATTTCTTTTATTACAAATTTCTTAAATTAAAAAATATACATTTTAAAATGTTCACAAAAGATATTTTTTAAAAACTTTTCTATATATTTCTTTAAAATATAAATTTTAAAATGTTCACAAAAGATATTTGATTTAACTTACAAATTGTTTTCATTTGAAGAAAATATTTGTAAAAACTTTTCTTTCATTACAAATTTTCTTAAATTAAAAAATATATAAATTTTAAAATGTTTTCAAAAAATATTTTTTAAAAAGTTTTCTATATATTTCTTTAAAATGTTTTCAAAAGATATTTGATTTAACTTACAAATTGTTATTATTTGAGCAAAATACTTTTTAAAAACAATTCTTTCATTATAAATTTTCTTAAATCTATAAATCTCTTTCGATCAAATTTTCTGAAATTAAAAAATATAAATTTAAAAATGTTTTCAAAGGATATTTGAACCCACAAATTATTTTCCTTTGAGATTCCAATGCATCAGAAAATGTTCGCAGGAAAAAACGTGTAATTAAATGCCACACATACATGCATATATTTAAAAATAAAATGTATGTGAGCAGTCGATATGTAAATGTATGTAAATACCCGTAGCAATGTGTGTGAAAGATGGAAAGAAAGAAAGTATTTTTGCATAATTAATTTACATACGACGAGAAATAGCTTAAGTACACAAATGTACGTTTAGTTCTCTCTTCCAATTGTACATATCAGCCAGCCAGCATATCTCTCAATTATCAATATCGAAACTACGCTCTTAAAAGTTTATGTTTAATAAATTATCAAAACTAATATACTCTCTCTTTGGGGCGGGCACACACGCACTGCCACAGCACAGAGCACAAGCAGCACTCAGAGTATTCTGTATCCAAATAAGACACTAAAAATTGATGCTCCACTTGCAGAGTCCAACAACGAGCTGGTGACCGCATCCACAACCGGACGCAGCGATCTCACCACCGAGCAGCAGCAACATGGCAGCAGCAGCAGCAGCAGCAGCGGAGGATTGGGCAGCAGCAGCACCTCTACGTATATGACTACAATGTCCAGCAGCACGTCCAGCAGCCAGCCGAGCAGCAGCAGCGAGAGCAGCACGACGACAACAGCCTCGACGACAACAACAACAACCTCGACAACAACGGTGATGAGCAGCACAACAGCACAGCCGGAGATGCGCACCACAGTCGCGGAGCACGAAACCACGCACGATATCTACGTGGCAATAGGCGGCGCAGGAGGCGGAGGGGGAGGCGACGGCAATCGGGATCATGAGCGCATGCAGCTGCCCGACTCGGATCACCAGCTGCCGCCGATGCCGCCGCCGCTGCCACCGCAGCCGGATCCGCCGCCATACGGACCTTACGGCGGCGGCACGACCACGTACAACAGCAATGTGAACAGCTATCGGCCCAAGGGCGGCAAGGGCGGGCGCATCAATTCGATTGAGGAGGAGCGCACGGCCATGATCATTGGCATTGTGGCGGGCATTCTAATTGCGGTAATCCTGGTGATCTTGCTGGTGCTGTGGCTCAAGTCGAACGGCGATCGCGGTTACAAGACGGAGAGCGAAAAGGCCGCCGCCTACGGTTCGCATAATCCGAATGCCGCGCTGCTGGGCAACACGAGCACGAATGGCTCGTACCATCAGCAGCGACAGCATCATCAGGCAGCCGGCGGCGGACTACCGGGACAGCTACATGGTCAGCACCAGCTGCACCAGCAGCAGCAGCACCAGCAGCAGCAGCAGCAGCAGCAGCACAATATCAACGTAGGGGGAGGGGGAGGCATGATGTCCAGCGGCAGCGGCTCGCTGGGCTACGGCAGCGACGGGCGACCCCAGATGGCGGGCCTGGTGCAGCCGAAGGCCAAGAAGCGCGACTCCAAGGATGTCAAGGAGTGGTATGTGTAAGTGCCAGCTAAAAAACATAACAAAACAGCGTCAAATTAGCAATACGACAGGTGATCTCCAGGTGATCCAGGTGATCCAAGACAAAACCAAGTACTTTACTTCATTTAAAGACAAGAAATGATAAATAATATACATATATTTATTTAGCAATCTCTCGACACAAGCATTGACAAAGTGTACAAATGACAACGGGAAGGATAATAAGGAGCATTCCTTTGTTATGGACACAAATGAAGATTACATTAATAAACACACACACAATATTTTAGCTGCATACGCATTAAGTTTTAAAGGTATTCGAAGAAAAAAGTTACAAGCAAAAAGAACAACTTAAATCAGCAAAAAAAAACTATGCCCAAGTAATTATTGCTTCAAACTCAAGACTTGCTAAAAAAGAAAACAAAAAAAAGAGAATAGAAATCACACGCATATATCATTGTGTTATAAAATAAATGACGCCACTAGCCAATCAAATAATTGTGTATAATATATCGCTAATAAATAATTAAATACAAATATAAAGCATGAGCAAATGTTAGCTAAGCGCGGCCTATATTAAAGCAAACCTAAACTAGAATTACACACAATTTAGCGCAATTCGATGTAAACGTAAATTATTATTCTATAAAAATACTATACAAATACAAATACAAATACAAATACAATATATAAAGTTCGACAAAGCAGCGTGTAAAGTTACAAATTCTGGTGCTGAAAATTAAATATTCGAATTATTATTCTAATGATAATGCAATAATTAAATGCAAAATATTGTTTATTGAGACCGGCTTTAATTAAAGTTAATTGACAGAAATTGAATACAATTTTGCAATTTGGTTGACTAAGCGATTTCTTTAATAATTAATTGATTCAAACAATTTAATTCGTAAAAAAACGAAAAACGAAGCCAACCTATATATACTTTAAATATATGTATATGTATTTGAGACTATATATTGTCATGGACTCCTCCTAAACAATATGAACTCGGACATATCAATTCAAGAGACACACACACTCTCTCACACACACACACACACACACACAGAGACACAGACAGGCACATGCGACACTTGACACTGAAGCGAACCTACCTAGCTTTTTTACAAATGCTAACAAATGTGAGCAGAATTACTTTACAGCTGAAAAAAGGGAAACGGAAACGAAAACGGAAACGGAAACAAGCAACAATTTTACAGTATTAGAGCCGCTTTTGTGCATATTTTTCGAGGCTAACGTGACGTATACGCAATCAGCAGCAGCAGCAACTAACAATAAGGCAAAACTACCAATACAAACACAAGCACACCTACACACGCACACCTACACACACTCACACAGATTTAACTTCAATCATTTGTACTTGCATATATCAATTTGGAAGGCTTTATTTAATTCCGCTGCTATTTGTATACCACATTTTTGTACACTTATATACTCTTATACACTTGTACTCACATATATATCTATATATATATTGGAGTTATACACGCACACACACACACTTACAACACGCGAATTGGCTGAATAAATTCCTCTTAAATTTGCTTTAAATTAAAATTTAATATATATATGTATATTTACATATATGTACATTTGACTACTATTTATATAGAATTACCAAATTTTTTCGATACATTTTTGAGTTATTATATTACCTCAACTTGTATACAAGCGAAATACAACACGACAAACAAACAAAACAAAAAAAAACTAGCGAATCTAGCAAAAGAGAACACTTAGGACACTTACAACACTATACAATGCACATATATATATACATACATATACACACACATATATACAAAGGCAACCCTACTTACATATATACTCTACTCTTTATAAATGTACATCTATACAACATATACATACACATATACAATATATTGTAACGATTGTAATTAATGAACTATTATTATTATGTATTTTGTCCCTTCGAACAAATTAAAATGCTGTTGATAACAAATTAAACATTCCCACTTAAATATGTATGTACCACTCTCCAATGGCTACGACAAATTTCTCTCTCTATATATACATCTATATATATATATATATATGTATGTATGTATGTATCCTCTCACAATGTTAATGCTGCACAAGGAAAAAAAACTCTGCATTTAAAGTAAACCACAAAGTTTATTCATTTCGAATTGAAGTAAACTCAAATTTTGCCTTGCGATTATTAAAAGTGCACCCCAAAAAACGAAAACCAAATAAATTCAACCTATTGAAAATTCTACGCGCCATGCAAATAAAACTTAATAAGTTGTTTAATAACAATATATTAGATAAAGCAAATACAACTACCAATTGATTAACGAATAATGTTATGTATGATAAACCTAAATGATAAGGGGCAACGCAAGTACAGTTAGTTTAATGAGTAACAGTAACGGTAACGGTAACTTAGTTAAACCATGTAATAGTTGAATGATTGTAGGAACAGGTAAATGCGAATGAAATGCAAACAATGTATCAATACAACTTAAACTTACATATATCTATTTAGGCTTAATATCATTGTTATCTAATATATATATACGAAATTACCACACACACCCACAAACACACCCAAACACACACACATACACACACACACACGTACCCAGTATATAGCGACAAAGAATATGTATATGAACATGTAATGGCTGCGCCTATATTATAACAAATCGTAACGTGTATGGACATGTAGCGGCAGTGATTGTTAATGAAATGGCTTTGTTTTGTGTTAGATTTTATAATTTATGAGAAAGAAAAAACGGTATAAAATTGCATACAAATACAGAATGACTGACAAAACACAGAATTATAACATTGCATATAATAAATAAAATAAAAGTATTAAAAACGGTGTTTTTTTTGTTTTTAAATAATAAAAAAATTATTTGTGAACTCACCATGCAAACCTTATTGAACAGCCAGCAAGTTCAACTGACATCGCATCTTCGTTGTTATCTCAATTTATACTGCTTGCTCTTCTTCTTACGTTTATCACATTCAAGTTGTGCAGGGTCAATTGTCTGCGTACATTCATGTTATGCTCCTTATATTTCCATACAACAATCACATTCACACCATCCGCACTGGGCCGCCTCGCGGCTTTAACTGAAACCAAGCTTCAGTGGGCAGCCTTATTTATACTGCCGGCATAAGACACACTTTCATATTTTTAAACACCCACACAAGCACATTCACACTACCATTTCGCCCTCGCCGGACCACCACGCAGATTCAACTGAAGCTCAGCTTCGATGGGCAGCTCTATTTATACCGCTGGCTCTGCAATGTTAGACAACATTGCTCAAAAATGTTAATTTGCCTTTAAAAAAAAAAAAACAAGCCAGCAACGTAAGGTTTTATATCATCTGCACTGGACCGCTGCGCAGCTTCAACTGAAACCTAGCGTCAGTGGGCAGCCTTATTTATACTGCCGGCATATGACACGCTTTTATATTTTCTACACTCACACAAGCACATTCACACCACTACTTCACCTGCACTGGACCGCCGCGCAGCTTCAACTGAAGCTCAGCTTCGATGGGCAGCTGTATTTATACGGCTGGCTCTGCAATGTTAGATAACAGTGCATCAAAATGTTATGTTAATGTTAATGTTAAAATGGCCATAACAGATGTTCGCAGGGACGTGAGGAACTAGTTGTTCAGTTTCGTGAGTCATTCAATTGAACTTATTCCAAAAGATATAATACAACACTACAACATTTGCGTGTGACTATTAAGAATAAAAATTACATTTTTAAGTTATAAGTTTAAGCACAAAATATGGCTGGAACCGCAAATGCTGCCGCAAAGACCGAGATGATTGATCTCACCAAGCTCAGTCCGGACCAATTGATGCAAATCAAGCAAGAGTTCGAGCAGGTGAGTGCCAGTCGCGTGTGGGTGTTGCTCATCAATGTGGTTTGGAGGGGGGGTGGGGGGAGCGGGATACCGTAGCGCAGTTGCACGCTAATATGGCACATGTTAACAATTGCTTTTCTTTGCGGCACGCTTAGGAGATGACCAACATACAGGACTCGCTGTCAACTTTACACGGCTGCAAAGCGAAATACGCTGGATCGAAAGATGCCCTTGAAGCATTCCAGCCAGATTGGGAGAACCGTCAAATACTCGTTCCGCTGACAAGCAGCATGTATGTGCCGGGTCGCATAAAGGATCTGAATAATTTCATCATAGACATCGGCACCGGCTACTACATCGAAAAGGTAACTCGAACCGCCTAAAAAATACTATACGGCTCTCACTTCATTTGTCTTTGGCTTAACAGGATCTGGAGGGATCGAAGGACTATTTTAAGCGACGCGTCGAGTATGTGCAGGAACAGATCGAGAAAATCGAAAAGATACACTTGCAAAAGACGCGTTTCCTCAACTCTGTGATCGGCGTGCTGGAGATGAAGCAAGCGGCCGCCGCTAAAATGATTCAGCAACAACAACAACAGCAGCAGCAGCAAGGCAAGCAGAGCGCCTGAAGTCGAACAAAGATGATTAAATTATTGAACTTATAAAGAATTTGTGCATTTAATTGACATATGTAGTTTATTAAACTGTTCAATTACTTTTTGGCTTCTGCCAATGCTACACTCAGCACCTTCAACTTTTGCTCATAGGCTGCCTTCAGGTCCTGCCAGGTTGAAAGATTGTTATTGAGTTATTCTTTATCTATTGCAAAGCTGTTCTCACCTTAAATATCTTGGACTGTGTGTCGTACTCTGCACGCAGCTTGTCGTAGACGGACTTTGATATAGTCAGTTTCTTTTCGGTGAGCGCACACTTGTCCTGCTCGGCCTTGATCCACAGCTGACTCTTTTCGAGGCGCTCTTGGGTGTGCTCGCACTCGGTGGTCTTTAGCTGCAGCATGTCTTTGGTCACCTGCAGAACGTCTTTGATTGAGTCCACTTGATCCTTGAGCACGGCAATCTGTTGTTCCTGCTGCTTGTTGACTTTGGTCTTCTCAAAAAGCAACGTCTTCGCCTTCAGCAGCAGCTCCTCCTGCTCCTGCCGTGATTTGGGCGCATCTATGCCGCCCAGCATCACCGATTGCTTAAGAGACTGCTCCAAATTGGCCACACGCTTCTGTAGTCGCTCATTCTCGCATCGCGCATCCTATTCCAAATGTGTATTAGCTACTCATCAAATGGCCCATTCAAAACTAACCTCAAAATCTTTACGCAGCGCACCAATTCGTTTCCGGGACTCCTCGAGCAACGCTTGTTTTTCGCTCTCCAATGTGAACACCATGTCGAGCAGCTCGTTTTGTGGCTGCCCCACTGGCTGCTGCTCCTCTTGTTGTTCATCCTGTCCACAGGCAGCTGCTGCTTCTGCTGTTTCATTGTTGTTCACATCGCCGTCAACCGCGTTTTCCGAATTGTTTGCAGACATATTTTTTAAATTTTTTCAAAATAATTAGAAATATATTCACACGGTTAACGCTGCTTGTGCGATTGCTCTGGCATATTGTTTTCTTTTTGTATTTATAGACAAAATAGATGCATGTGCTATATATAGCCTCTTTTTTGGACTCGGGCTCTCTGCAGCGCTCTCTCGCACAATTCTCTATACTCTACGAAATAATAAACATTTCGTTTCGAATTTAGTTTTGCATACGCCGCAGCATATTCTGAAGTTTCATTTATTATGTATGTTACGTGAATGAGGCGGGGCGGGGCGGGGCGGGGCGGGCTTATAAATGATGCGGGGTTAATACAAATCGCCGTTAGCAGAAAACAATTAAATTGTTATTACAATTAAATGTGAGCGAAAGTTTGCAGTGAGTTTTACATAAGATTAAGTGCCTAAACAAATTTTAGAAATGCCAACGGTCGCGTCTAACCGTCTAGCTCGCCGGCAGCGCAGGCATCGCCGTAGCTCTTGCCGCTCTTGTCCTCGGGATTCAGCTTAATCATGTCGTCAATGCGCAAAATAGTGATTGCCGCCTCCGTGGCAAACTTCAACGATTTGATCTTGGACATGGCCGGCTCCAGGACGCCAGCCTTCTTGTTGTCACGCACAACGCCCTCGATCAGATCGAGGCCGGTCCACTTAAGCTGGCCATTCTTGGAGTTTGTTTGGCTGGAGTTGTGGTAGGAGCGTAGCTTGGCCACCAAATCGGTGGCATCCTTGGCTGCATTCACAGACAAGGTTTTGGGAATGACCAACATCGATTTGGCGAACTCGGCAATGGCCAGCTGCTCGCGCGACGACAGCGACGTGGCAAAGTTCTCTAGATAGATGGACAGCGCCGCCTCCACGCAGCCGCCACCAGCAACGACTTTTTTGCTTTCCAGCACACGCTTCACGACGCACAGAGCATCGTGCACGGAACGCTCCATTTCATCACAGTAGAAGTCGTTGGGACCACGCAAAATTATAGATGCAGCAGCGCTGTAAAAAACAAGGGAGTCATAAGAAATTGTCACATTCGGTTAAGCGACATCTTACCGAGCTTTGGTGCCCTTAATGAGAATGAGCTCATCATCGCAAATGCGCTCCTGTGCCACCTCAGCTGCTTCGCCCACCATCGAGGCATCGAAGCTCTCCTCGCCATCCATGTTGGTCAGCGAGGTAAGGAATGCAGCACCCGTTGCCTTGGCAATGATCTTAAGGTCACTCTTCTTGACGCGACGCACAGCCATGGCGCCGGCCTCGACAAAGTACTTCATGCACAAATCGTCAACACCGCCACTGGACAGCACAACGTTAACACCGGTGCCCAAAATCATGTTGATGCGCTCCTTGGTGATATCCAGCTCACGTGCGCGTATGGCCTCGAGTTTGTCCGGGTCATTGATCAATACCTGTACGCCCATTTTCATTTTGGTCTTCTGCAGCGAAAAGTCCAGGCAGGCAATTTTTGCGTTCACTATTTTCTTAGGCATTTGCTGTGAGGCAAGGGTGCAGTTCAAGGCATAGCCTGGGATCAGCACCGACTCGCGTGCCGACTTGCCATGCGCCTTCAGCACATTTATGGCTTTGATCGAGTAGGCTGTCTGTCCCTTGGGATCGGTGATCTTAACAGCTTGAGCGGCATCCACGACCATGGTGGAAAAGAAATCGGCATCCGCGCCAATGATCTTGGAGCTCATTGATGTCTTTGCGATATTGATCAGTGAGTCACGGCTGAGCTCGTCCACTGGTGCCGTAAGGTGCTCTGAAATGTACTTGCACGCTTCTTTGCAGGCAATACGGTAGCCAGAGATAATTGAAGTGGGATGAATTTTCTGCTTGACCAGCTCGTCGGCGTTCTTTAGCAACTCAGCGGCCAAAATGACAACGGATGTGGTGCCATCGCCAACCTCCTCATCCTGCAGCTGAGCCAACTCCACCAGCACCCTGAAGTGGAATATAGAGTAAATACCAAAAAATCACTAAAGCAGTTGCTAAACTTACTTTGCCGCCGGATGTTCCACCTCAAGCAGACGAAGAATGGTCGCTCCATCGTTGGTAATGGTCACATCACCAATATCATCCACCAACATTTTATCCAAGCCGACAGGGCCCAGAGAGCTCTTGACAATGTTCGATATGGAGAGCGCGGCCATAACTGCAAGAGAGAACCATATGAGAATACAACCCGGGATGATAAAGTGCTCTGGACGCTAGACGTCATAACCTCACTTTAATTACTAGACAGTGTTTCATATATTTATCATTAACTTTGCTGTTTTGTTAGTACAAAAGTAAGTTTTAGGCAAAGAGAGACATTTCGAGCGATTTGTTCGAGAAGATTCGTCACCAACCATCTGGGGGTCTGATTGGCAACGTGCTTCTCCCCGGCGGCAACTTGCAAGAGCTGCAGCTGTTGCTGAAAGCAAGGAATTCTTACCGTTCTGTGTGCGCACAGAAGCGCCGGACTGCCGTGTTCCAGCGATGGATAAGGGACTTGCCATTGTCGACATTTTTTGGCTGTGTTGTGCGACTTTTAATATATATTTCAAACAACTTAAATACGCACTGCTACTGCTTTCAGTGAAAAATCGCCGCACGCTAAACCGCCTGACTCAGAGTTAGTGATGTATTTTTTCTCCCTCTATCGATAACTAATAATCGAATACTTACGCTTAGTGTAATTAGCCTATGAAATGTGTAAATTCTTGCCACTGTCTTACTTCAACCATAAGAAAAAAATGTGTAAGCTTAAAAAAAAGAGTTAATTAATAAATAAAAATATCATAAGATCATCTTTTTATTATTCCAATTTAATTTATGTGGATATTTAAATTGGCAGTTGGCGGCAAACATGTTTTTCCTCCATCATTCAATCCAGTGCTGGTTAATGCGTTTAATTACCTATGAAGTGTTGTTGAATACATGTAAAATAATCGATGACACAATCCGAAATGAAATGATTACTCGATATAAAGTTAAGAAAACCGCGGCAAACTAACAAAAGCTATTTTTGTATTTTATTTTTTTTTACTAAGCATCCATATTTTCGTTTATAGCGCGTAATCAACATTTAAAATGAGTGCGACTCCGTCAAAAAAACAGTACAAAACGCCAAAGAAACAAAAAGAAACGACACGGCGTCCAAAATCGGCAAGTCTCAAATCTATTGAAAATTTAACAAACTCCGATGAATCAAGTGCCGCTGAGATCGAGGAGCGACGCACACGCACACGTCGCTCAGCCCGCAAGCCGAGTCCCACCAAGAAGTATCAAGACTATAGAGCCAAAGTCGATGATCAGCGCGTTGTTGTCAATTATGCTGAGTGCACGGATGAAGATGAGTCCCAGTCCGAAGTCGAACAAGACGCTGCTGCGTTAGGTGAGGCGATAGGCGTTGGTGCAGCAAAGCCAAGCACACGGGATCTGCAGCTTATACAGTCGGACTACAACGTGGCGGGCACCAGTTTGTTCGGCTTCAATACGCCCAAGAAGAGGGATGCCATGGCTTTGGCTGCGCTCAATGCGACTCCCTGCACTCCAAAGACACCAAAGACACCGCGGCTGGGTGTTAAGACCCCAGATACGAAACGCAAAAAGGCAGATCAACCAAAAACGCCAGCCCATGTACGGACACGCGTTAAGCAACGTAAATGTCATCCAATTAAAGCAATCAATATATCTTTACTAAATTACAAATACTTACAGAGATAGCTAAAATAGTGGCCGACTCTGATGAGGACTTCTCGGCGGACGAGAGTGACTTTCGCCCGAGCGACGCCAACTCGTCAAGCAGCAGCAGCAGCAGCAGCAGCAGTGAAGGTGCCAGCTCCGACAACGACGCCGCCGACGATGAGTCGAAGACGCCGTGCAAGGCGCGCCGGGCCATTGTGGTGCCTGTGCTGCCCAAGACGCCGTCGGCAGCGCGTCAGCGGCAGTCGGCGCGCGTGAAGAGATCGAACGAATTTGTGCCAGAGAGCGATGGCTACTTCCACTCGCACGCCAGCAGCAAGATACTCACATCGGATCACACACTGGATCGCCTGAAGAATCCACGCCTGGCCGCAGATCGTTTGTTCAGTCTGTTGGCCGATATGAAGGCATCGGCCGAGCACGATACTGCCATCAATGCCATTATGGAAGAGTATCGTTCGTACTTCGCCAAGTGGATGTGCATCCTGAACGAGGGCTTTAACATTCTGCTCTATGGACTCGGCTCGAAGCGGCAGCTGCTGCAATCGTTTCATCGTGATATACTCAACCAGCAAACGGTTTTGGTGATAAACGGATTCTTTCCCAGTCTGACACTCAAGGACGTTCTGGACAGCATCACCAGCGAGATTCTGGACGCTGGTCCGAGCTCTGCTAATGCACACGAGGCCGTGGACATGATCGAAGAGGAATTTGCACTGATACCCGAAACACATCTGTATCTGATTGTGCACAATTTGGACGGTGCCATGCTGCGTAATGTTAAATCTCAGGCCATCCTATCGCGTCTGGCGCGCGTTCCAAACATTCATCTGCTGGCCTCCATAGACCACATCAACACGCCCTTGCGTAAGTAGCCACAAGTCGAACTAGTCATGCATATTGCTGATGTCTTTTTCGTGATTTAGTTTGGGACCAGAACAAGCTGAGCAACTATAACTTCTCCTGGTGGGATTGCACCACCATGCTGCCCTACACGGATGAAACGGCCTTTGAGAACTCGCTGTTGGTCACGAATTCCGGCGAACTTGCACTCTCTTCGTTGCGAAGCGTATTCTCCTCGCTGACAACCAATTCGCGTGGCATTTACATGCTGATTGTCAAGTTTCAGTTGAAGAACAAGGGCAATGCCAACTATCAGGGCATGCCCTTCAAAGACTTATACTGGAGCTGTCGTGAGGCCTTTCTGGTTAGCTCCGACCTGGCACTGCGTGCCCAGCTGACCGAGTTCCTCGATCACAAATTGGTCAAGTCGAAGCGCAGTGTTGATGGCTCCGAGCAGCTGAACATTCCAATTGATGCGGCTCTTCTGCAACAGTTTCTCGATGAGCAGGAGAAAAAATAGTCGCCACATGTTTAGAACATATTAATTTATTATCTAATTTGTTAAATACAATTACAATTTGCGTTCTCTTTAAAAAGGTTTCCCGTGTGTTGCTTTTCTGTTTTCGCATTTTCTCAGTTTTCATCTATAAAGTTCTCGGTTCTGCTCAGCTCTCCCTTATTGTTTTCTACACATTTAGATTGGCATGCATAAAAATGTCTCTTAGTAGCTTAAATATGTTTGCGTTTTGATATTATCCATCTTCAGTTTTAGTGTTCAGTTTCCTGGCGGCATTCACACAGCTTTCGCACTCCCAAACTTAATTGCCTGCATTTGGTCGATTGGAATGAAACGTACAAACAATCGTTCGTAAAAAGCATACAAATTAATTATGCCTAATAGCACTTAATTTATGCCTGAATTCGATTATATTATTTTAGTCAGCCGAGCTGTGCAAACGCCGTTTAGCTTATTTTGTTTGCTGCTTTTTTTTTTTTTTTGTGCATTTCAATTATCATACGAGAACGGAATCAAAAAATCTATTGCTCTATATTTATATTTACACTTTTGCAAATCAAGCAAAAACTATCTTTCGATTTGCCTTAATTCCATCTATTTTTTGCGAATATTATTATGTTTCGATTGCAAAATTCTATGTGCATGAATACCTGAATCTCAAGTCGTACACATTAAGTTAAGTTTAAACAATTCGGATCTTATACAAAAATTTGAATATTTATAGTTGGATTATCACTTTTACTTTATTCGTTTCTCGGGTTTGTCTCTATATATCAATTATTTTCAAATAATAAATGGAAAATATGTAATACCTCTCTCACAAGCCTTGACTAGACTCGAGCTCAGCCTCGTCATCTGTGTCCCATTTGTAGCTCATTTTCCCCACTAAAAAAAAAAGTGGAGTAAGAAAGACTTAGTTGTTGTTGTTGTGGTTTTTTTGCTTACTATACACAGAGTGCTACATTTTGCTTTTATTTCGACAATCTTTTGATGTTGTGTGTTTCTTTTTAGTTTGTTTTTGTTTTGTACAAGAAATAAAGAAGTTTGCATTAAATACTTAAAAACAAAAAACATTGAAGTTTATTTTTAACGAAAAAGAGAAGAAATTTAATGTATACAATCGATTCCTTTACTGTTCTATTGAAAAGGGTGTGTGTGTGTGCGGTGGTTGCAGCGAATTTGTTGTGTCTGCTGTGTGTGTGTGTAGAGGAGGGAGGTAGGTAGGGAGGGAGGGAGGGAGGGGGGTGGTATAGTTTTCGGTAAATACAAAAATAAAACCTTTAATGCTCTCTCTCTCTCTCTCTCTCGTTTGAATTCAATTAGCAGAGTTTACATATACACAATATATAAATCAACTTCATTATCATATCCGTATCATTATGCATTAGTCATACTCATCGAATATACATCACAATCAAAGTGTACGCTTTGTAATTATACGCGGTAATCATAATAATATAGTTAATAATAATAATAATAATTATAATAGTTACGCATTTTACTTCTTTATGTTTTTGCTTTTTGTTTTTTATATATTTGCCTTTCGTTACTTATGAACTTTATTCTTATTGATTTGTTGTTTTTTGTTTATTTATTTTGTTTCTCTTTTTGTTGTTTAAGCAAGTTTGTTTTTTGTTGTTTCAATTTAATCTTAAAATTATGCATTAATCGTAATCATAAATCAACAAAATAAAAATATTACATTTATCAAGTGTTTGAAAATTAAATTACTCGATATCGAAACAATAAACGGCTGCGGCTTCTTCTTCTTGTTATTATTGATAATATTATTAATAGCTGCTCTTGTTGTTGTTGTTGTTGCTGTATCGCATATGAATTTGTTGATCAAATAATCAATTTGCATGCAACTGTTAAAATGTATGTTACAATTGTTGTTGTTAATATTATTGTTGCTGTTGTAGGTATTGTTGTTGTTGCTTGTTGCTGCTGTTGTTGCTGTTGCTGTTGTTGTTGTTAGATGGATTGTTGCTGCATTGTGGTTTCAGCTCATTTTCACGCGTTTCCTTGGTGGTCCAATTGGTGGGATTTGTTGTGTTGCGAGCGCACGAAATGCCTCCGCTATCAAATGTGAATGTGTTGTGATCATATTTTGCCAGCCCGTGGTTTCCATCACATCGGTGGCATGACTAAAAACAATAACAAAGTTGCATTAGATTTGAGTTAATCGAGAGTTTGGTAGGGGTACTCACGTATTAATGAAATCTATCGTTTGTGCTTTCAATTGATCCGCACTGTGGAGATCAGCTAATATTAACGTTTCGGCTGCTGTTTCAACAGAGAGATTGACGCACAGCGCCTCCTCACACATCACTTTCAGCTTTTCGAGTGCGTACTGTAATCGGGGGAAAGCAGAAAATTAGTTACAATTCATTTAAAATACACAAGCAGCAGGGTATTGTGCTTTTTCCCTAGACTTTTTCAGTACAAATTCACCTATTTTCCGCCCGTTAAATTACAATTCGAATTCAACGTTGGCAAAAGACAAGTCTCGGATAACATTTTTACAAATTCACCTATTTTCCGCCCGGTTAAATTACAATTCGAATTCGAAAACAAGTCTCAGGTAACATTTAGATGAGTCAGTTTTTCAGTCAGTTCAATGGATTGAGCTGGAGCTGGAGGAGGACTTACTTTATCAGCAGCCGCTAAGAGATCATCAGCCATTTTTTCTAGGTTGGACGCCTTGCCCGTGTATATGAATCGGAGCATTTCTTTGAGAACCTCATGATCCACATCGGTTATGGCGACACGATTCAGCTTGCGCTCCTCCATCTCGTGCTCAAACATGGCCGCAAAGACATCACTGCGCGCTAAGAGAGAGAGCGAGAGAGGGATTAGCAATTGGTTCACCTGGTTATTAGATATAATAGTCTTACCTGCCAGTATGGCCTTGTGCGCTTGAAACTCACGGCCGCCCACGGAGAGCGTCACGTCGCTGAATTTCTCGTTATCGAAGAGATTGCCGAGATCCTCGGAGAGCTTGCACTCGGGCACTTTGAACTGCACAATATTGGATTGTCCGGAGATGTTGACGCTGTCCGCAACGACGCTGACCTCACAGAAAATGGTCAGCTTATCTTCGGGCAGGAGGCCGTTGGCCTCGTCCAGGAGAAAGTCGCGGCGTATGAACTTCTTAAAGCCCCAATCTTTGCCCTGCACGAAACGGTAAGCTCTGAAAAAAAGGAATAAAAGTATTTACATTTGGGTTTATTTTCGGTTTTTGTGGACTTACCGCTGGGATTCCATTGCTTTGGTTTCCTCACGTTTTGCGTTTAGTATGGAAAATTTGAACTTGGCTCTGACTTCAGATTTGTTACACGAAACTAACAGTAAATATAATGATAAGTAATCCTTGCTCTCCTCATCGAGACCCTTGGGATTCACCCGTAAACACCTGACGAAAGTTAATCATTAGCATTTACTTAACCGTTATATATTTTTAGTTGCACTCACCATTTTAGTTTGTCATTAGCACCTGCTGAGAATGTGGACGATTTGAGTACTTCACCCATTTCTTCCCGACAAAAACTAAAGTTATTTATGGTCCACATATAACTAAATTTAACCACTTTGACCTGCAAGTTAAGGAAAAGATTAGTAAAGGGAAATTAAATAATTATTAATCTAAAGGCGGGCAGTACCCGGCTTTGCCCGGTAATAAAACGGCCCTTTTACGACTATGGCATGGATTAGCTGACATTGGTGAAAAACGTCTTTGTAATATTTCTATAAAGATCTATGAAAGTAGGATTTGAGGAAAATAGAATTTCGTCTATGCAAGCTGGAAACCTTTAATTTCACCCAGGAGGGTGGATTTTTCGAAAGGTATTCAATCGAAAACACGTATTCAACGAAATTTAAAAAGTAAAAAAGTTGTATGATATCTTTCAGCAGGAAGTTTTCCGAAAGCCTGTTCAACTATTTAGAAAAAGGCAACATTCTAGCTCTAACGGTTCGGCTACACTTTGATCGACAATCAGTGAGTCAATCAATCAATCAATCAGTCAGTCAGTCAGATAGTCAATCAATCATTTAGTCAGTCAATCAGTTTGTCAATCAATCAATCAATCAGTTAATCAATTAGTCAGTCAATCAATTAGCCAGTCAATTAGTCAATCAATCAATCAGTCATTCAATCAATCTGTCAATCAATCAGTGAGTCAAACAGTCAATCAATCAGTCAGTCAATTAGTCAATCAATCAATCTGTCAATCAATCAGTGAGTCAAACAGTCAATCAATCAGTCAGTCAATTAATTAGTCAATCAATCAATCTGTAAGATTAACCAGTTTTATACACGACAATTGCAAATCTTTTCAACAGATTCTCTTCTCTTCTCTTTAACGATTCTCAAAACGGATTTGGTTTCAGTTTCAGTTTGTCCTCGGCGCACACCTGCGCACACCTGCGCAACGAACGAGCGGATTTGGGCCGAACGGAAATGCATTTAGCTGGGAGTGCAAATACGCGCACATAACCACAAAATGGATTCAGTTTACATAAATGAAATACGAGCAGATGCAGCGGCAAATCCATAGGAATGTTCAGGTCCGGCCTGGACTGTGTCTTGGGTGTGCATTGGAAATTTAATCCTTTGCAGAAGGAGGAGGAGGAGGAGGACGAGGGATTTGGCGGGTCTTACCTGCGTGTAACACCAGTTCTCAGCAACTGGCGTATTAACTTCCGGCAGGGGCGGCGATGGAACACGGCTGACCGCCATTGTGCTACTGGATGCGTGCAGGTTCGAGGTGACTCTAGCTGTTTGGCTTGCCTGACATTCGTTTACCGGCAATCTGCAAAGGTAAAAAGGTGAGAGAAAAGTTTGGTTAGATCGAATCGCAATGGAATGAAAAATATCATTTATTTATATGTAAGTAGCTGGATGAGCGCACCTTGGCTCGTGCAGTAGATCCATGATGCTGCGCTCGAACTCAATCTTGACAAAGTTGCTGTTGGAACTGGAATGCCGGGCCAGGAGATTGAGCAGCTTTAAGAGCAGAGAGTTCTCCAGCTTGAACGCGCACGATTACAAAATATGTTTAAATTTGTTAACAGAAATAGATAGACAGTTTAAAACGAGACGGAGACGAGACAGACACGGAGACAGAGACACAGGCACACGGAAATCACAAAACGGAATGCGCCAAAATGTGCAGCGCGCATAATTGCGAGAAAGGCGCGCAAGCAAATATCGCAAATATGGCAAATGAGCGAAAGCTGAGCGTTAACCGTTATATTGTGCGATATTTGAGTGAGAGAAGATCACAACTGAGCAACGAGAGCGTGTGCGATTGAGCTTTTGAGCAGCGATTGTCTAAGCTGGCTGAGCGAGAGCGAGAGAGAGTAAGAACTGAACGAAGGCACGACCGTCCTGCTGGAGCGGCAAATGAAAACTGAACACTTCACCGTTGTGTGGGCCTGTAAAATCCTGAATCTGATTCTGAATCTAAAACGGCCAAGATGCGTCAGAGGATGCGGAGACGTGGATAATTCAGGCAGAGCAGAGCCTGCAGATGACAGCAAACAATAGACGAAAATGTAGCCAAGAGTGGAAAATTGACAAACAATGGGCGAGACGGCGACGGCAACGGCGACAGCGACGCGGCAGCGAGAGCGAGAGGATCTGCTACAGCAGCAACAACAATTGTAGCTGCCGCAGATGCACAACAGAGCAGCCAGCAACATTTTTATATACACAATTAAGAATAGAAAAACTTGGAAACATATACGCAAGGCTGAAACAACAACAACAACAACAACACCAGCAGCGCTGAGATTTTCTAGGAGTTTTCGTAGCCCAATCGCATCTGCTGCTGAGCGGTGCGCAGTGGCCATCAAACGCTGAAAAGGACCTTCAATGCGCCTGTGTGTGACAGCGCGTGCGTGTGTTAAAAGGCTGACGCGAATATTATCAAGGTGAACAAACCGTAAAACAGCATCGGAAACAGCCGCAGTCGCAGCAGCGGTCGCAGCAGCAGCAGCAGGCACAATAATAACGCAAAAACGAAGTCAGCGTGCAGCAGCGCTGTCGACGCCGATGCCGACGTCAACGCCAACGCCGACGTCAATCATGCGGGGCTGGCGACCGCTGAGTTGTCGGGTTTAGTACCTTCAAGTAGCTTTATTCAATTTTAGTGAGTGTGCTTTAATGTTAATGACATTGATTTGGCATTGAGCGACACACACACACACACCGACACACACACACACACATGCATACTGAAAGCTACACCTGCACAAGCACAAGCTGCCGTCTCTCTCTCTCACGCTTGGCGCTCTCTTTTATTTTGTCGCTGCGAAGGGCCAGAGCCAAAACTTTTGTTTGTTATGACATTGGAAACATTTACCTCAAACATGCTTTGGCGGCGCCACAAGGTAAAGTAGTAAGGTTAAACGAGCCAGGGCGAGGGGGTATGGGGGCTAAACTAAAGTGATTTTGGGCAGCCTCAGTGAACTCAGTTAAGCTCATGATGATTAATGAGTTACAGCAATCGTCGAGAACTCCCAACGTGAGAAATGACTCAGCACGCGAGCTGATTAGGCTGGACCCAAAATGTTGAGGGATGGAAAGTTCAGCAGCAGATGTAACACTCCAAATGCAAAGTTAAATAGTAATTTTTGAAGCAGTTTAATTTTAATATGATTGGCTTATAAAATAACCGTAAAGATAGTTAAAAGTTGCAAAGCAGTGAAAGTAGCCGTAAACCAATGTTGACGGCTTACGACATCGAGTGGCCACTGTACAGGGTTCAGAGCAGCTTGTTTTAGGGACCAGCCTTTTCGTGCCTTTTATCTAACTGTGCAAAGCGGCAGCGCAGTCGCAGCCGCAGCCGCCATTGGCAGCTGAATCGAATGCATTTGGTCACGGACACGCTGCCTGGGAAGAACGGCACCTTGAGTGAGAGGAGGAGGGGAGAGCGGAGGGTAGACAAAGAGAGCAGCACCAGGTCAGCAAAGCAAATAGAATTTATGACAAAGAGCAGCACGTGTTAAGATGCGCTTAGCTGTCGAGCAGGAGGAGGAGGTGGAAGAGGAGACAAAAGAGAGAGGGAAAAAATGTTGGGGTCTGCTGCAGGCAGCTGCAAAGGAAAATCGCGCCAAATTGGGCAACAACAAGACACTTACAACTTTTCACCAATTTTCCGCCAAAAAGTTGTTTGTTATATAATTGAAGTCGACTCGCGTTGTGCTTTTCACACACTTCCGGCAACTTTTCATTAGCATTTAAATGAAATTTGATAGAAAAAAGGCCTCCGTTAACAGACGAATGTCGACAACAAAAGGCAAGCCAATAATAAAAATGGTGAAAATTTTCATTTTTACAACAAATTATCGCATGAGTTTTCACTCGCTTGTGGTTGTTGTTGTTATTGTTGTTGTTGCTGGCGTTTTCACCAACAGCAGCAGCAGCAGCAGCAGCAACAAAACATCAAAAAACAACAACAGCAAGAGAAGCGGCAAAAATACTCCTTTCACTCGTCCAACAACAACAACAACAGAGACGAGTGAAAAACGTTTTGAAGAAAAGGAAATGCTTTTCATTTTACATACACACGCACACACACCGATACACATATGCAAACTTATATAAAGGCGATGCAAAGATAATTTTAACAACAGAGCAGAAACGGCCTGGCAATTTAATTTAAATAATGTGATCTTTCATGCCAATGAAAATGATTTCAAAAGAGAAACTACTCTTAGCGCCTGCTCATCTCTTCACTTCCGCTACTAAATGCAGCAACAACAAAAACAATAGCCACCCACCCATCGCTCATGCAATTTCTCTTCGCCTGCGCCTTGCCTTTGCTCTTCGTCGTCGTCATACCTATACACAAGTATGCATGTATGTGTGTATGTGTGTATGCATGTATTTTGGGGCGATGTCAACACTTGAACGCATATTAATTTTGTAAGCTCCCACGCTCAAGTTTCGTTTTATCGTTAGGGTTTGCTTCGCTACGTTTCTTATATTTGCTGTTGTTGTTGTTATTGTTGCTGCTGTTGTTTTATCTGCCTCGTCTTTCTGTGAAGTCAGTCGTCAATTCGCTGCGTCCATTTGCCTTTGCGGGGCAGCGCAGTCGAGGCAAAGGCCGACCCATAAGGAGAAAGCTCCTCAGCGTATCTATCTCTCTCTCTTTCGCTCTCTGCAGTTTTACTTGCAGTTTTCGTGAAAGTCGCTGCCGACTGTGAAGCTGCTGCGGCTACTGTTGTTTTTGTTGCTTTTGTTATATAAAATGTATAAAATCATTTAAGTAGAGTGAAATTTGTTCATTTTTATTGTTTTTATTTTGTTGCAAACTTTTTGCAAACGATTGCAAAGTTTACATTTAACTATTTCAGTAGTTAAATGCAATTTGCATCTTTAACAGTAAAATGTTAAGTTTTACACAACTTTATAATGCACAAAAAGTACTGCGTTCTACTTTCAACATAAACTATGCTATTCGTTTTTATAGAAGCGTTTTATTGTTTATTTTTAAATTCCAACACATAAGCAAAGCAAATATAGACCTAGAAAATCGAAATGTGAGAGAGAGAGAGAGAGACTTTGCAGGGGGCAGGGTCTTGCTCAATTTTTGACACTTTAACTGGCAGCATTGCAACATAAATGAAAGTTTACACTAGTTTCGCGTTAATAACAAATAATGACAAAGGGAAAACATATTTCGTTACATAAGCATTACAAGCAGCATTGAAATGAGCCGACGACTTTGCGCCGTCGCTGGCCTGTATTTATTTGTGTGGCGCGTACTGTATGCGCAGGCGCGTAGGCGTCAGCGTCACGCTGACAGCGGTAGCGGCAGCGAATTTCACCCGACCGCAGTGTAACCGAAGCCAGGCGACGTAAAACGAGAGCAAATCGCTGTTAGGCACGAATAACGAAACGACAACGCTTTATGTAATCGTAAGCGAACAACAACAACAACAACAACATAAAAACAGCGTGCAAAGCGAGCTAAGCTTGCGGCGAATATAACTTGTTTGATGACGTAGCGCAGCAAAGCTCAGCTTACACGCGGCCTCCTTCACTCAATTGCGCTCTCTCTCTCTGTCGCTCTCTCTCTGCGGTTTGTGAGCACGTTGCCGCGTTAGCGCGTGGCGTGTGTATTGTATAATAGTAAAAACCTCAAACAAATGTTTAATTATCATTAACAGACGTCATTAACTTGCTTCATTATCGTGTTGAGGCATGAAATGAAATCAATAAATTAATAAACATTTTGTGCCCAATTTTTACAGTGCACAAGAGGCCAAACTTGGCCGACTATTGTTGCTGCTGTTGTTGTTGTTGTTGTTGTTGTTGTAGTTGTTGGCTTGTTTGCATTTTGCCGCTTTTACCATTTCTCTGCACTTTCTAAACAAATTGTGCGGCGACTGCGACGAAGCGAAGGAAACGACGACGACAAGAAATTGGCTTTCATGCGTTTTCACATTTTGTTTTTGTCGTGCTTTCATTTTTGTTGTTTTTGTTGCCGGATTTCTCTCTCTCTCTCTCTCTCTCTCTCTCTCTCGTTTTATTGGCTTAGAAATTTGTGTGCCTGCCGTAGAGATTTGTTCTAAATTCAAAATGTGAGTGAAAGAGTGAAAGAGGCGCCTTTTGCTTTAGTTGTTGTTGCTGTTGCTTTTATGATTATTGGGTGAAATGCGTTAAGTAAAGTGAAAACCAAAAAAAAAAAACATCTGTAGCAATGATTTCATTGATTGGAGCAGAGCAGAGCAGAGCAGAGTTCAAGCAACTCGAATCACTCAGCCGCAGCGCGCTGGCAACATGTTGCTGCAGCAGCAATCGATCTGTCTGTCTGCCGTTGTTAATTAATTTAATTTTTGAAAGTTTTGCGCCAAACTCTACACACACACACACACACACACACACACATTGGTTTTTAAATAATTTATTAACTATGTACGCTTACTTATTGATATTAAAATGAGAAAGTTGCTCAAGCTGAACGCATTTGGCTTTAAATAGTTTTTCATTTCAAATTCATATTTCATGCAACTTGTTGCTGCAACATTTCACTTTGGCTGTTGAAAAGTCGACGAGAGGACAACGCAATTACATACGCATTAACATTAGACCACGACTGCGTTAAGCAATTACATAAGCATTAACATTAGCATTAAAATTAACATAGGCCTTACATTGACAGTTCTGACCCTTGTCGCAGGCGCACTGAAGCAAACTTCCCGTTCCGTTTGCGCAGAGGGCGTGCAAAAACCAAAAAACAAAAAGATCAAAAACCACAACTTGGTCATTTCAGAGTCCATTAATAAGAACAAAGCAGCATAATATCCATTACAGGTACAGTGCACGCTCGATATGCTGAACAAATTAAAAGACATTACATTCTCTCTCTCTCTCTTTGACTTCCCAAATGAATCACATTAATAAAGAAAGTAAATACAATCGCCAGAAAGAGGCTATCGCTTCGGGGGCTATCAGACAGACGATCCGACGTCCCAAGGCTAATTAATAAAAGCAACAAGTGCAAAAAGCAATCAACAAAATTATCTTTTCAATTCCAAATCCATTTGCCATAAAACTGAAGAACACATACGTGCAATTTTCATGGAAGCAACTGTTACAACTGTTTAGCTCTTTTACCCCCAGCCCTATCAGGTCGAGTATCGAGTGCAGCGAAATCGCACTTACCAACACTGGCAGGCAGCCTCAGTCTCGCGCTCAACACTAAGGTCACCCATCTACAAAGCCACCAATTAAAAGTGGGTTACGCCGAGGTTGCGAACCGAACTAGCACATAACCTAGCACACACACACACAGACACACACATACATGCACAAATTGTATTGCATGTATGTGTGTATGTGTGTGTGTGTGTGGAGAACGAGTGAATGCCAGAGCAAAACGACAAGTCATCCAAATTAACACAGCAAATAATGTTGGTAAATGCATTAAAATTAAACCAAATATGGTACGGTTTTTGTTGCCGTCGTCAAGGATGCGCCTTGACTGGTTAGTGTTGAACAACTACAGTGAAAGCTCTCTTGAGCGGACAAGCATGGCAGTTGACGAAATGTCAAAAAACAAAGGCAAATCTATGTTAACAAATAATTATTGAAACTCTTACAAGCCAAAAATGGAGTTTTATAACTTCCGGTAAAAAGAGAATCCGCCCAACGAGGTGCAACATTAGCACTAAATACATTAATTAAAGAAGGTAAAGTAGGAGATTGGGACTAAACAAATTTGTCAGTCTGTTAGTAGAGCTTTTACTGTACCAAGCTGAACCAATTTGAACAGAAAACTTTTCCTTAGCTGTGACTTTCTTTACGAGGAAGCGAAGCTCGCAGCGCGTTTAAATAAATGAAAATTTATAGAAAAATAGTTGCCCAACGGCGTTCCATTTCCATTTTCAATTCCATTTGTAGCGGTTCATTTACGTATACGTATTGTAGTCTGATAGTGACGTCACAATATCAATGGCCTGCATTAACAGACGGTCACACTGCAGCAGCTCCCATGTAACTAACAGATTATGTTATGTTATGTTAGGATTAAGAACTGTTAGACTACAGCACGCAAAGTGGAGACATATACATTTGATTTGATAAAACTCAGTCATCCTCTCTCACAGAGAGTATATATTATTATGGACGCGACTGTATTCGAGTTTATTTACCTTTTATCACAGAAATTTGCAGCGGCGTTACAAAACTCCTTCGAATTGGGGCATTTAACTAATAATACTAGGCACAGAGGAGATTGTTGCTGTTGTTGATTGTTGTTGCTGTTGTTGTTGTTGTGGTGGTTGTTGTGGTGGTTGTTGTGGTGATTGTTGTTGTAGTTGTGGTGGTTGTTGTTGTTGTGGTGCTGGTGATGATGATGGCTGTGGCTCTGTTGTTGCTGCTGTGCAGGATGAGCGCAATTAAAGTGTTGCTGCTGCTGCTGCTGCTGATAGTGTGACGAGGAGGCAGAGGCGGAGGCAGAGGTAGAGGCAGATGCTGTGGCAGAGGAGGCGGAGCTGGAGCTGGTGCTCGCTGAGGATGAGGCTGAGGCTGAGGCGTTGTGTTGATGCTGCTGCTGGTTGAGATGCCGCCGTATCGACTGATTAATGCGATTCGTTATTGAATTGGTCAGCGCGGAATGATGGCTATGCAGATGATGATGCGGCGACAGGTGAGTCGAGGAGGAGGACGAAGAGGAGGAGGAGGACGAACTGGAGCTGGCGGTGGATAAAGTGGGCCCAAACAGGCGGCTGGCAATTATGCTGTTACTGCTGTTGCTGTTGTTGTTACTGTTGTTGTTGCCGCCGTTGTAGTGCCTGTTGCCGGCACAGGCGCTGCTGCAGTTGTTCGAGGAGGCGGCAGCGGCGGCAGCGGAGGAACTTTGTGCGCGCGTCAAAATGTTTTGTAAGTTGCTGCTGTTATTGCTGCTGTTATTGCTGCCGCTGCTATTGCTGCTGCTGTTGTTGTTGTTGAAAGCTGCCTGCAATATGCTGCTGGGTGTTGCCAAATGTTGCGCCAGTGTTGCTGTGCCACTTCTCGTTGCTGCCGCTGCTGCTGCTGCCGCTGCAGTTGCTCCACTTTCGTAATTCAGGTGACCCAAATGTTGTTGCAAAACTGAAGGCGCTGCCGCTTGTTGCTGCTGCTGCTGTGGCGGCGGCGGCGATGGCGTGCTGGCAGCAACAGTGTGTGGGTGTTGCGGCAACGTTGACGTCGACGTTGACGTGGACGCAGACGCAGACGCAGACGCTGGCGTCGACAGCGACGATCTGCGCAGTAATACTGGAGGCGTTGATATCAATTGCTGCAGGCGACTGCAGTTGCTGCTGCCGCTGCTGCTGCTGCTCGCTGCTGGCGTCTCAGCCAAAGCGCTGCTCAAAGCAACATTTCGCGGGCCACTTTGGCAGCAACAATTATCACTAGACGCTTGCTGCTGTTGCTGCTGCTGCGACGTTTGTTGCTGCTGCTGCTGCTGCGGCGGCGGCTGCGATGACTGTTGCTGCTGTTGCTCCAAATTCACATCGACAACATTCTCATTTTGATAGATTTCGTGCACGTTTCGCTTTTTTTTGATTTTCACATACGGCTCAAACATTTTATAACTGAATAAATTTGCTCTCTTATTGTTGCTGTTGTATTTCCTTCTTTTTTTTTCTCTCTTATTTGTATTTGTATTCAATTTGATAAACTTATGTATTAAGCGATTTGCTTATTGCACACATTTACACAAAAGCACAAATACGCAGGCACATGTATGAAATTAATTAATTTTCTGTAGCTCTTTGGCAAGCTTTTTTTTGTATGTTTATTGTTGTTGGTTTTTTTGTTATTTTTTTTTTTTTGATTCAACCGTTTAACGCGTTTGCAATTAATTGATTCAATTTATGTTTACAAATTTACAAAATTCCTCAAAAGAAATATTGTTATTAATATTGGAAAACTTTTATTGAAACCCTGCAACGCTCCATGCCGTTTATTAAAGCTGTTGTTGTTGCTGTAGCAGCTGCTAATTTGGCCGTCAGCTTTTTTTTTTAGTGGGCGCACAAAAACTGAGAACGAACCACAACCGCTTCGCTTGAAAGTTTGCGGAGAACTAAACAAAGTGTAGCCAACTGAGCAACGGGTCGGGCGAATGCTGCCGACGACGACGATGACGACGACTACAACTACGACGACGTCGCTGCTTGCTGTTGCTGCTGAGTGAGCGGCTGTCCGATGATTTCAATGCTCGGCGAATTTCGGTGTCGACGCCAGCAGCGCTGCTCGCAGCGTTTCAGTTTTCGTTTCGTTTCACTATGTAACAAAGTCGACGCTGCAGTACGTACTATGGCGAAACGTTAAACGCACACACACACACACTCGACTAGACTCGTACAGAGCACACCTACACCTACACTCTCCACGGTTAGTCAAGTGAGAGGCGTTGGTGGGGCGCTTTGTGTGAGGTCGACTAGCGTATGGGAAAGGAAGCAAAATCGACAGCGGCGACACTGAAAAACCACTGAGCGCAACTGCGGAGAGAGTGCGCCAGTGAGCGCGCAAGCAAGAGAGAGCTAGCTGAGGGCCAACGGCAGCTGATAATTGTATGTATTCAAGTGCGTGTGTATAAGTATGTGTGTGTGCGCGTGTGTGGCTGACGAGGGCGAGGCGAACGAGGCCATGGCATGGCATGATGATGGCTGATGGAACGGCCTGGCCAAGCCGGAGGTCCTTCGAACAGATAAGCCTTAATCATTTAGTCACAGAGGCAGCTCTTCAATTGAGCCGCCGCGGCGGCCTTGCGCTGCTACCGCTGCCCGCTGCTGCTGCTGCTGCTGTTGCGGCTGGCTTATCGGCGCTTCCTACTTTACATCAAAGTGCGCGACGGCTTCAACCTCGATTGCACATATCGGTTATGCTCTCACAGACATTGTCCACTCATAAATCTAGTATGGACGGAACTGAATCACTCAAAAGACTTGAGTTAAATATAACAATTACAAGAATTGGCATACATCATGCATAAATTCAGTCTAGTTTTTGACACTTCTTCAAATAGAAACTTCGTTAAGTTTTTGGAGCTTAACTCGATTTGAGCACAAAATTCTTAGTTTTACTCAGAGTGTATATACACATACATACATAGGCAGATGTACATATGTACTCGTAACTATGTATCAACCCAGGGGCGTTGTCGGCAACGCATGTCACGTCGTCTGCAGCCGTCGTCGTCGTCGCCGTCGTCGTTGTCTTGGCCCACCCAACTAGCAGCAGCAGCAGAAGCAGCCGGCTCTTCACTTTACTCCATTTGAAGCCTCCTTCTCTCTCTCTCGCTCTCTCTCTTTCTGTCTCTTTGGTTGGCCACTCAACACATTCGTTTCATTTATGGCGTGCAAATTAGCATCGGCCGTAGGGTCTTCGTGTGTGTCCGTGTCCTTTGGCCCGGGCCACACATCAACAACAGCAACAGCCGCAGCCGCAGCTACTGTATCTGCAACGGCAGTCAATCTGTTGGCCATTAGTCGGGCCCACAGCTGCGTCGTCTGGGCATCACTTGAATGTGTGAAAATTTGACAGTAATGCGTCGTTTGCTTTGAAGTTGCAAACACCGAAACGTGTTGAAAGCTGAGCGAGAGTTTCGATTACGTTCAGTTGAGTTATCGCTGGGAGAGAGACTGGCGAAAATGGCTACTTGAACTGTTGGGGAATTTAAAAACAAAATTCCCTTGCATCAAATTTCCCTTTCAAAATAAGTTCCCTATAAAACTGGGAAATCAAGTGTCACATGTTTCAAAAATGATCATCAATAACTTTAGCTGCTTTGAGATGTTCTCATCATCATCGGAACTAACGATCCAATACTTCCCACACCAAAAACACCTTATTGGGCAGCGAGAGAGAGAGAGAGAGAGAGAGAGACTCAAGTTCGTGTTGATTATTCATAGGTTTTTGATATTAAAGGCCATTTCACGTCCATTGGCCTTTGACCACTTCCTTCAATAGCGGAAATAACACAACTGGTTCACCTTTCAAAACGTTTTGGTTCGCAGTTCAGCAAACTCCTCGAATGTTGCATCGATCGATATTTCTATCGACTTTCACAAAGCTGAAGAGCTCAGCTTAGTGCACAGTTAATCGATTTACAATAAGCTGTTAATAGAAATTCCTATCGTTGTGCATGTGCATGTGTGCATGTGTGTGTGTTTGTGTGTTTATTTATTGTATGGCAAAAGCGCATGCACATGATTTACTTGACACTAATTTCCATAAATAAAACAAAAAGTTCAATAAAAACGTTGTCCCCCCTCCCCCCGCTGCCACCCTGCTGACGCTTCAATGAATGGATGGCTCTCTGACAATAACCCAATTTTCACTAGCAACAAAGCAAAATATTCGTGCACACACACATATACACACACATATGTATGTGAACAGCGCGACGCGTTGACGACCAAGGCAGGCAGCGACGCTTACAGAGACCGCGACGTCATCTCATTCGCCTTCTCATTCTCGTTCTCAATCGTACTGTTACCTTCCACATTTGACAAAATTAAAACTAAAGCAATGTTTGAGCGCTTTTGGGCGCTGTCTCTGCCCCCCTCTGTTAATAACTTTGACTGGCAGCTGACTGCGACGCTTGCTACGACGCTTACAGAGACCGCGACGTCATCTCATTCGCTTTCTCATTATCATTCACAATCGTATTGTTACCTTCTCTAGATTTAACAAAATTAAAACTAAAGCAATGTTCGAGCGCTCCCTCTGCCCCCCTCTGCTAATAACTTTGACTGGCTGCTGACTGCGACGCATGCAGTGCGTGGGCTGCGGCGCCGCTGACGAAAGTGTTAATTGATTTTATTGGCTGCGAGAGCTGCTTTAACTAGAGATCGACGCGTCTACAAAAAAAAAAAAAAAACTATTTCAAATACAATAAACACACGAATAGCTGAGTGTAAATGTTGCCAGGCGGTTTTTGGGTGGGGGGAGGGGGGAGGGGAGAGGTCGGCAGCTGGCATCGGTTAGATACACAAAGTGGAGTTGTAAGCGGGCGAAATACATGCACACACACACACATCACACCGACGAGAGCTGCCCAAATGCCGTGGGATAACTTCCGCACTCGTGCCGTGAGTGAGCCGAGTGAAACTTTGAGACTTTTTCGTAATCACTTTGCACAGCAATTGCCGTTTCGGTTGCAGCCTTTTACTCTTCTTCTTCTCCCTCTTCTTCTTCGTTGGCTTTGTTTTGTTTCGTTTTGTTTCTGGTCGGCGTTTTCTATTTGGCGCTGCGCTTAATTTACATTTCAAATTTTCATAATCTTTCGTGCCGATGTAACATTTTGTGAGTGATTGGACCAGCGCCATTTTCCGCATTTACACACACACGCACACTTTGAGATATTTGTGTTAGTTTTGTTTCGCCCACATTTTGTTTTGTCGTCATCAATGACAAATCTCAACTTTCCAACACTGACACATTTCGAGCTCCCAATTTTCGATTTCCATTTGCCGCCGCTTAGCATACACATAAAGTTTGGTAATGTTTTTTTTTTTCTGTTTTTTTTTTTATTGTATCTGTCACGCGCCCATTAAAACTAGTTCAACGATAATTCATAAACACAGTTTATTATTTTGATTCGATTTTTTCTCTCTTTTTTTTACTTTGCGTAATCAGGTTTGTCGGCGCTCTGGGTTTTAGGCTGGGCCAGTGCGGGAAAAGTGTCGAAAAAACGCGTGTCGAGTCTGACTTGGCCTTGGCTTGCGCGTTTTTTGCCGCTTTCGACGATTATCCAACATTCGGCGGTTTCTTTTCCCTTTTTTGATACCCTTGCGAAAGGGCATTAAAGGTTTGTCGGAAAAAGTGTTATGCATTGGAGATATTTCCGAAACTATAAGGTATCGATACTCTTAAGCCGAGTTCATCTCTTCGCTATCTATATGAAATCTATGTGAAATCTCTATTATATAGATGCAATAGGAACTATTATATTATTATTATTATTTCCAAGATATTTAACATTCTAATATTTGCCAAAGGGTATTTTCCTTTTTATAGGATTGCTTGAAAATTGAGTTTTAGTTTGACAGCTTCTTCTAAGCATAGAAAGTGTATTTAATCTTCGACAGCCTAAAGATTACTTTTCTTTGTTATGTTCTTTGGGTTTCGGTATAGAAAGTGTATTGAATCTTCGGGTTTTGGTGCTTACAACATTTCCTATCTGTTGTTTAACAATTCAATCTGTATAATCAGATCGTGCTGCTCTATACGATCCCAACACGATCCTACACGATCCTTTGTGCACAAATTCAACTGCGACATTTTACAGCTCGAGCTATAGACAATTTGTCAAAGCGAGTCCTCAGTCAGGATCCAACAAAGGAACACCCAAGCAGGCTTTGTTGATCTTATCTCGAGCGACCGACAATGTCAAAACAACAAGCCTTAATATGATTGCTGCGAGTCCTTTTGGTATCGCTCGCCTCGTCCCTGGGTGGGCAAGTGGCAAAAGGACATTGCAGGATGCACGTTGATTGTTAAAAATCCCGCATCAATTCGAAATGCAATTGCGAAGGCTTCGTCTGCCCGCTGGCAGGCAAAACCACAGTCTGCCAGGTTCGGGTTCCTCTTAGG